ACATTAGTGATAAAATATTAAGAAATACAGTACTGCAGTAGCAAGAAAGTTGAAATGGAGGAGGGTTTGGTGAAAAGCTAAGTGATCAAATTTGTATTTCTGTGTCTCACCAATGACTTCTAGAGTCTTTCACATGCACATCCCTTTGCATGAAAGGTACAAGCTCCAAATGTAGTGTTATTACTGCCCTGCTTATGTAAGATAATGATGGACTCACTGGAGGGCCTGGCAACAACTTAGAGATATTATCTGCCCCCCCCCCTCTGTCGCTCACTAGATGTTAAAATGCAGCTAGCAGGATCATTGAATTTTTTGTGTTGTTACAGGAACCTAGCATTCTTTCTCTCACACCACAAAATGTCTTATGTCTTAGTAAGATGACAAGTGTGTTTTTATGTTCACTATTAGTGTGTGTGTGTGTGTATATGTTTGGTGGCTGGCGCAGAAGTATTAAGATTTTGACAGTGTGCTTGCTGAAGTTGTTAATAGCAAATGTATTTAGAATGTAGAAGAAAATGTTCCTTATGAAGACCTGCTGAATTTTTCTTTGAGAAGATAATAAACCACTTCTAGGCTTTTGCTCTCATTGCTACTGGATAAATTTGTACTAGTGAGATGTTCCCCCGTATTAAGATTTTGACCGTTTGTTAATAGCAAATGTATTTAGACTGTAGAATTATGAAGGCCTGCTGAATTTCTCTTTGAGAAGATAATAAACTACTTCTAGGCTTTTGCTCTCATTGCTACTAGATAATTTTGTACTAGTGAGATGTTCCCCTGATAGCTGTAATTGACAGTTGTTTTTTAACTGGGGCCATAACATCCAGTGACCAATGTTGAGCACAGACAGCAGTATTGAGTCCATCCATTGATTCTTCTTTCAGTTGGACCCTTCCCTATTGCTCAATGCAAATAACAAGAGGCTATTACGAAATTCCTTCATTCACGTAAGCGTTTCATAAATGAAATGCATAGATGAAGTAATTCCAGTTAATACTAAAAATCATTTCCTTCCTGTCATAGAAGTGAAGAGCTGAGATGTGTAAGGAAATAGTGCTGCCAAAAACCTTTGTTGGCTGTTCACAGGGTAGACAAGGGAATTATAGGCATAATAGTGTTTGTGTCAATTGTTTATGGGCAACTAAGACTCTTTCTGCCCTTAAATGTTTGGACACAATCCTAGGAGGATGCAGTGCCAAAAACATGACTCATAGATATTTTTTAAGGCAGCCGCAAAGGAGAGGTTTTAAATATTTCCTACTGTACCACAGCGCCACCAGGGATGTGGTGGAGCTGTGGGCTAAATCGCAGAAGCCTGTGCTGCAGGGTCAGAAGACCAAGCAGTCGTAAGATCGAATCCACGTGACGGAGTGAGCGCCCGTCGCTTGTCCCAGCTCCTGCCTACCTAGCGGTTCGAAAGCATGCAAATGCAAGTAGATAAATAGGGACCACCTCGGTGGGAAGGTAACAGCGTTCCGTGTCTAAGTCGCATTGGCCATGTGACCACAGAAGAGTGTCTTCGGACAAAACGCTGGCTCTATGGCTTGGAAACAGGGATGAGCACCGCCCCCTAATGTTTGGACACAATCCTAGGAGGATGCAATGCCAAAAACATGACTCATTGGTATTTTTTAAGGCAGCCGCAAAGGAAAGGTTTTAAATATCTCCTACTGTACCACGCATTTACTTCATCGACAACCTTGGACAAAGAGTCGAACACGACTGGACAAATTGTCAAGGGGAACCTTTACCTTTACCTTTAATGTACCATGCATTTATTTCATCGACAACCTTGGATAGTACTTTATGCATCTGATGAAGTGGATAGTAATCCTAAAAAAATCACATGACATAAGGAGCTTTGCAGTTATATGGAGTGTGCTTTTTGACAAACTATGTGAATGTTAGATGTTCTCTAGTAGTACATTGGACATGTAAAAATACAGTCACTAAATGACTCCACGTGTTTGCAGTTTCTAATCCAACAGCATACCAGAACCCAACAGGATCAAAGCCGAGACGTTAAGGTCCATGGGAGTGAATGCAATGTTGCCACCCCCTTCCAGCACTACTGGGATTACTGTCCTTGAGTTATTGATGCTCACTTTTCTCATTCAGTACCTTGTGGTGTGTGAACAACCATGGCAGAGATAATTTTCTGTTTTTTAAGAATTAGCAGATTCACACAGCAGGTTTTACAACAATAGTGAGAAAAATCAATCTGTTATGCTGTAGCAGAAAAACCTGGATGGTGAAAAGATATCACATGGAATTGTATGGTCATGACAAGTGGTTAAAGACAAGCTTTGAAGAAAGTAGGGTGTGGGGAGGATATTCTCAAGTTAGAGGCACAGCAGCTACAGAACTGTCAAGAGGTGCTATGAAATAGGTTGTAAGCAAATGTCTAGTTCTCACTTATAGTATTAAGAGAAGAGCTTTTTTCCCCAGGCCATATCTGTAATGTTGTGAACAGAAGAATGCCTATTGGTTCTACACAACATTTCATTTAGAGTAGGATGTCACATTTGCTAGGACCAATAAAGTGACGACTTTGTGCATTTAGGATGCTAACTGATATTCTTAAAATTAACTTCTTGATCTGCTTGTGCTGTTCCTAATGGATAAAGCCCAGCTAACTTGGTTCCTCCTCCTTCTGCTTTCTGCCTTACCTTGGGCCACACAGATCCTTTCAATTCTACTGCTGATGCTGTTGACGATGCCATTCCAAGCCTAAATCCTTTCCTCACAAAATCTAGCGATCATCTCTCTGTCTCCTCTGATGTCCTCCCCACTTTCACTTCTAGGACACCAACTCATGAGATGTTTGTTGGTAAAGTACCATCTGACTGGCTTTTCCCTTTCTCTAAATTAATTGGATTATCTTGGAAAAAATTTGGATTTTGGACAGGAAAAAAAATGCTGAGCTTTTATCTTATTGCATGGCCTAGTTTAAATTTACAGTCCAGGTTTTGAAGGTTGCCTAGCCTCACTTACTGAGAGCAATGTGGGATGGAGGGAGGGCTTTGTATTCTTTCCTACCCCAATTTATAGTTATTGGTTTACAGTAGGACTGCGGTATCCATGAGGGGGGGTCAGTTCCAACTTCTCCCCTGTCAAGATGCTCAAAACAGTGGCTACAACAAACCCTGTACTATTGCACAATCTCTGATTCCTTCTAGTGGTGAATTCTGGTAATACACCTTGGAAAATTTTATTTCTTGTTTTTTTTTATTTAATCTTTTCAAGTAGCAGATCAATACTGAACTTATGAATATGGCAGTCCTACTGTATCTAGATCAGGAAGTCCAATAATTAAGACACCTAAGAAATTTCTCATCCTAAAAATGCTTAAGGCTTTGCTGTAGTCATGTCAGATACTGTGTTTGGAATCCAAATGAGCCACTTTAGGGAAGCTTTCAACAGGCTTTACAATCAACTGTTATCACATGCAGCTTGTAGGGTAGCAAACAGGTACTCTTGATTTCCTGAAAGTTCATATTTAATCCCACACTAGATGCAGTGCAGTCTGACCCAGAGATTACCATGTCATGCATATGACTTTCAGCCAAACTCTTTCTGGTTCTTTAGATCACTTCAACCCATTTACTGAATCAAATCCCTTTCTGACAACTCAGTATGCATCCGCTGTGCAGCTCTGTCACTTTATGTCAGGTATAATATAAATGCCTTGGAGTTTTACACTTATCCACACATTCAGAGGTGTAAAACATGGCATTGGATTCCTCCTGTCCTTAGTACATTTTTTCTCCTTCTTAGATGCTGTCACTAGATTGCCTCTGTGTATGTACGTGTGTGTAGTAGCTTTCGTCTTTAGTTTCCAAATATTGGGTTAAACAAATAGAGCATGTCATGTTTATTTCTTTCTTTCTGTAACATTCCTTCTTTGCTCTTCTGCTTCGTATGCCTTTATCAGATTCTTTTTGTGGTCCACAAGCTTATCCTAATGCTTCCCATTTCTGCAGTGAGCCCTCATCTGTAGCTGGTCTATTTGGAGGTAGGTACAACCTTTTCAGAGCCCAGAAACTTCAGACTTGGTTAGAAACACGTAGTCATGTCAATTTCAGAACTCCTAAATGGCAGATATTACCTTCAGAAAGCAGGTGGGGTACAGCTGAAATGCCCACAGAAATAAAGAATGCTGATCTCTCAGTCATAGCTAAGGGACTGGACGCAGGTGGTTTAGTTGTGTGAATTTTCCATCACTGGTTGATACTTTAAAAATAAAATCAAGTGTGCTAGAACCAGGAGCGAAGAACCTGTGGCCCTCTAAATGCTGCTGGCTATGAGAGTTCCCAGTTTGTAACATCAAATCATTTTAAATAGTTGTCAGAAATACCTTAGCATTTTCTTACCCAAAGATTGCAGATGCTGACTTTTTAAAATGAACTTGTTTTGCACCTCACCTTTTGGTCATGTTAGCTACAGAGCAAGAGTAGGTGATACCTTTCATTGGAGCACTAAAAGTAAAACAAACAGCAAGCTTTCATGGATGAAATCCACTTCCTCAGGCTCAAAGCACACCCCCTTCATGGCTGCTGCAAAAGTATTGTCCAGAAACTGATGTTTTGTTTTTAGTGGTCTAATAAAAGATATTGCCTACCCTTGCGTTTGTGTAATTTTCGGGACCACACTAGCCCTTTCCTTTTTTGTAACACAAACGTTAGTCATGCTCTTCTGAAGCACCAAAAATGCCACGATTAGTTTACTTGAAGCTTTCATTGTAAGCAATGTAAAGCCATTGCATTTGTCTTATTTCTTAGAATTCAGTAGAAAAGCGCAACAATGTTTGTTCTCCATTTAAGATAACCTCTATTATGCATTGGTAGGAAACCTTTCACATCCGTTCTGTTTCTTTTGCAGTTTATAGATAGGAAACTCCTTTAGCCTATTAATCCTTTAATTGAAGAAATTGTGTATAAGCCATGAACGCTGACAGTGAAATAAATTTCTCAGTCTCCAGAGTGCCATAATGCTTTCTGATTCTGATTTTGTTGTCACTTGATTTCTTTGTTCAGATTGTTGCTGCTTCCAAACTGAATTGTAGGGGAAGCTGCCTGCATGATTTTGATGATCTTCCCAGATCACCTTTTTCTTTGTGGGCCTGAAAATGTATGCATTGCCCTAGCTGCAACAGGCTGCACCCCAGTACTAGTTTAACCAGTTTAACATCCGTCTTAAGAATGGAACCATTTAAATCTGATCAGAGTCTCATACACTGCACGTGGCAGAGCTCACGAACAAGGCACAGTAGATACATCCCGTCTTTGCTTGTGTTGTACTTCCTTATAGTCAGCACCACATTTAGTTTCTGACAGTTTAATATGTTTCAGTTTGACTCCCTACCAGTAATCTCTCTGTTCAAGTGGCCGTTAATGTAAATTTTGTTACATTTTGTGTAAAGTCCTTCTTTCTGTTATGAATCAGCACCAGTATGTTTCATTGATCAATTCCTAGGATCCAATGTACAGTATTTGGTTTTGATGTTCTTTTGACCTGCCTATTCATTGCCGTGAGCTTCTGTTGTGTTTTTAAGCTAAAAAGCCTCAATATTTTATAAATATTCTTTTTGGAGGAAAAAAAATGCTCCATCCTGAAGTTATTTTAGTATTCTTTCTTATGCCATGTGCATAAGAAAAGATACATACACTAATAATTCGAGGAAGCACTATCTGTGTACTGCAGTTGTATTTGCTCCTTCTTTCATTCTCATGCTTTGTTGACTTCATATGTATAATTTTTATTGCTGCATCAAATTGATTTGATTAAGAAAGGCCTTCTGGAATAGTCACTGCGCTTTGCATTTTAGCAGCACAGTAGTTTTCAATAATCTGCATGGCACTGTGTGTGTAATTCTAGCATTCTCTGTAAAAACAAAGGGGGGTAGTGATTATGTTTCAATTGACCTTTTTTTCTTATTCATTTGTGAGGCCAAAGTGGCCATAACTGTTTATGTAGTACTACAGCTAGAATGTTTTATTTCTTTAAAGTGTATGGTTTTAGCAATAATATGTTTTGCAAAAAGGGGGAAAGGATGATTAACACAGATGCTGGTTGGAGATAGAACTTAAAATATATGCTTGGCTCTTGGCTGACTTGTCTTTATGAGGACTTAATGCAGAAAAACAGAGTCTGGGCTGGGGTGGTAGTGGAAAAATTATAATTGGAGTGTGATGAATTTTGAACACTTCCCAGGAGCAGAGTTTAGCAGTTTGGCAGGTCACAAATCCAAACTGGAAATTCAGGGAGATGCTGCTGCTCCAGGAATGAGTTCCCAGGTGGTATAGCAGTGATAGAATTTCTCTGGAGCAGTCCGTCTTGTTTTGCAGGATTCTAGCCTTTGTACATTAAGTCTCTCATTTCCAGTCCATTCCCTAAATAGCCTTGTAGAATTCTAGTTTTGGAGACTGCATCATTTGGCCTGCTATTCCCTCTCCCCCAGTACTATGCTACCCACTACTATATGCAACATGCAGACCTGAATGCATTGCTTCCTGTGTCATGGACCTTTCCTCCATGATAGCGTGACATGCAGTTCTTGTGTACCTCTCTCCTGTCTGCCTATCATCCTTTCATAGCTACAGAACTAGTACTCTTAACGAAAGCTGAGACTTCATGTACTACATATGAATAAGCTTATTCTTTTAATGTCTCTCTGTAGGGTTTACACCATCTCCTGTTGCTCCATCCCAGCCCCCAGCCGGCCTTAATGTGGACTTTGAGTCTGTGTTTGGAAACAAAACTTCAAATGTGCCAGTGGATTCTGGGGGTAAGTCCCTTAAGTAGCCATTGTTTAATACTATGCAAAAAAGGGGGAACTCTCACTAGGCATACCTAAAGTAACTCTGTAGATTCATTTTGGAACACGTTTTTATGAACTGTTTTAAGGGATCCCAGAAACAATTGGCATGTTTGATAAAGCAGTTCCCTGTGGTGCAGGGTTAAACTGCAAGACTTCAAGCCTCTGCTCATGACCCGAGTTCGATTCCAACAGGCTCAGGTAGCTGGCTTAAGGATGAGTCAGCCTTCCATTCTCCTGAGTTAAATAAAAGGAGTACCCAGCTCACTGGGGATGAAGTGTTCCTTGCGTAATAATGTTATATATCATACAGAGAGTGCTCGAGCACTATCAGGCCATACATTGTCCATGACATCAGTTCCATGAGGCTCATGATCGGAGGCAGCTAAGCCTCATGACTGAAGGAAGCCTGTTTACAGAGGCAAGGTACAAGCTGTTTTGTTCTCTCCATGTTCTCAGCTTACTTCTGTTTAAAAGGAATCCCTCAATTTTTAGTGTAATGATTTTAGGAAAAAGTAGTGTCTTATACACGGAAAAATACGGTGCATATGTACGTACGTACGTACATACATATGCTGCAGTGACTAAGATGTTTTACTGCGGCAGACTAATGTTTTTTCTATTGTATGCCAAATACATGGCAATGCCTTGCACTGCAGAAGAATCAATGTTGTCCCACATTTTGACCTAAAAGGAGAGCAGGATGATTTTCCCCCTTAAGCTACTAGCTGTTTGATCACAACTAATTTTAGAATTATGCAACACTCAGTTTTAGATCTTAAAGTACATGTCTTGAAATGTCTGAAATTGGGGTGTTATGCTTCTTATGTTTTTAAAGGTTTTGATGAATTAGGTGGACTCCTAAAACCAACAGTGGCTTCTCAAAACCAGAGTCTTCCAGCCTCCAAAGCACCACCTAACAAGTTGGTCTTGGATGATCTGGATTCATCTTTAGCCAATCTTGTGGGCAGTAAGTATTTTTTTTTGTGGGAACACTGTGGGATTGCCTTAAATGCTGCTGTTTCCAAAATAAATGGATGGCTTCTAATTATTTTCTTGTTTTGTGACAGATTTGGGCATTGGAAATGGAACAACTAAAAAGTGAGTATTCCACAGTTCAGTAGACTGTAGCACAGCAATATTATATGGCGATGCAGGTTGCCGTGTTCCTTGGTTAAATGCGTGGCAGCTGCAGGAAAATGCTGACTGCTTCTTGAAAGTTTCTTTTTCTGAGGGTGATAGCAAGCCTCCCAGGATGTGGGACGACTTGCTTTCTGAATGAATGAAATTGTAAATAAGGAAATACTTGATCACCGCCATCTTGTCATGAACAGTGCACTGCAAAAGGAAGTCCCTCTTTTGTAGGAAATGCTACTTCTCCCTTGTTGCCTCTTTTTGCTTCTTCATGCTTCCGTAGCTCAGACTTTGTTCCATTATTGTGAGCCTTAAGCCAGTGGTGAGCTAGCGATGAGACAGTGCAGAAGTGATATTTGTCCGATTTCAGCTTCGTTTTTTTTTAATCTGGCTCTTTTTAAAAGGTTTTGTCAGGTTTCTTTAAGTGGTTGAGACTTGCAGGAATACAGGATGAGGAAACTTTGTTACCCTTTTTTTATGCCCAATATGCTTTTTTAATATGTCTGCAAGAGAAAAAACACATAGAAGGGAATGGTGGAGTTCTAATGTGTTAAATGTTTGTTTGAAGTGATGTGAATTGGACACAGCCAGGAGAAAAGAAACTAACCGGAGGCTCCAACTGGCAACCCAAAGTTGCCCCTACGACAGCGTGGAATGCTCCGACCATGGTAAGCCGTTCTGTCGATCCCAAAGTTATAACTCCAGCCATTTAAAGTACCTTGTAAAAGAATGGGAGATCCTCAAGAATTTTGTTGGGCAAAACAGAGAACCAGGGAATGCATTGTTACAGGCTAAAGTAACCTAGTAGCAGTAGTAGTTATACTCCTTTTAAAAATTATCGGTCAGTGTATGACAGGTTTTTTTTTTAATTAAAACCAGCAATCCACGGGCTCTTACAGCACATGATCAACCTCTCACTTGAAATAAGACTGGGGTAGCTTCCTCAAAGTGCCTATAAATTTGTGTGAATTAACTATGCTAACTGCTGGCTATTGTGGTCTGCTTTTTGTTGCTAATTTTGTGTTTTGAAACCAGAACTGAACATACCTCTAGCTGCAAATTTGCTGAACTCTTGGAGGGAGGGCTACAGAGTAGGGGAGGTAGCTTCTTCCTATGCTTGCTGATTCTTTTCTGTAGTCCCACTCCTCAGCTTTTAGAGGAAAATGTTTTAATTACCTGTTTTAAAAAAAATTGGTTGACCACTGCTTGGAAAGGGGGCAGATGAGAGGAAGAGTTTAAGCGTCTCTTGCCACATTTTGCTCCTTCCTATAAAGACTCCAGATGTCAGTGTCAAATTATGAGGAAAATATGATTGGGAATCTTAGTCCCGTGGTCATGTCTGGTTCTGCTTTAATTTATCCTGTCAAAGATTACCGTATTTTTCGCTCCATAAGACGCACCTTTCCATAAGACGCACCAATTTTTTAGGAGAAGAAAACAGGAAAATATAATCTGTTTTCTTCGCTCCATAAGACGCACAGACTTTCCACCCCCCTGTTTTGTGCGGAAAAAGTGTGTCTTATAGTGCGAAAAATACAGTAATACTTCTAAATAAAATATTTAATCATTTTGCCCTTAAGAACCAGTTAAGTCATGTGACAAAGCTCCTCTTGGATGGGACTACTTCACTTTAGGAATTTGGGAATGGTACATTTAAATGCTTCCTCTAATCCCTGTACATTGAAAACCAGACCCTTGTGGAGAGAATTGAATATTTCCACCTTTGAGGAAAGCTCTGCCTGAAAAGAAAGTCTATGCACCCATGTATCCAAATCAAAGAATTCCTGAAAGGTTTTCATGAACTGCGGTTCATTCATTAAATTTACTTGCTTCATCATCTCCCTAACCCTGTTTATTGTCTGTTTCCCTTGTGAATGCTTTGCCTTTAAATGAGAAATTCTAGTATTTCTGAAAAACCTGCCCACCCAAAAGATGCTAAAAGAAGTGCAGAAGTTGCATTGTCAGCTCGTCAACCTTGGCTGTGTTCTTTTTTACTAGAAGCATCGTATAAATGGCTTTGGATTATAAGAATTTATATTTTCAGGATTGTTAAATGCTCTTGTGACTAAAATGCTCTGTGTATATTCTGTTGTGTAAGTAATCGTTTCTAATCCAGTGTTATTGCATTATGTAATTGTTCTTCCGGGGAAAAACAGAATGGCATGCATTTTCCACAATACGTAAGTGAACAAAACCTGTAGCCTTTTTTTGCAAGAAACTGGCATGCTGATATTAACAACTACAGCAGAATCTCATAATCCTGCTACTCCACCCTTTTCTTATGTTAAGATCTTCAGGCATGATAGAAATCTTGAGCAACTACTAGCATATCCAGATCCTGCAGATTTCTTGATGCCAATGATGGCATGGAAAATACTGATTTTTTTCTTGCTTTACCTCCGCCATTTGCTGCCAGCTAGCTGATGTGTGTGTCTTTATTGCCTTTTTTAATACATTTGAATAAAGTAAATAAAAAAGGCATCTCTGTGCGTGAATAATTGCATGAAACCTCACAGGCTTCTGTTCAACTTCACACTCTGCTACTTGTAGACTTGGTTTCAAATAGGGAGAGACCAATATGTCCCCAAATGGTAAATGGACCTTGATTATGTTCTGAATCACATTCATAATGTTTAAATTACCATTCTAAAAAGTATGCTGTCTCATTCATTATAAGAAGCAACGTTAATAGTGATAAAAAGATAACTTAGCCCTCAGCACATGGCCAGTTAAACCTAACTGTGCATTAATTGCAATATGAGAGCTAAAGAATGAAGTCACTAATGGGTTTAATATATTCCAAATATATATTTAAGGTAAGTTTCTTAACTGATGATGGGATGTCCCTTCCCCCCTCCTTTTTTACAGTTCATTATCTTGCGCATGATCTACCCAATCTGCTTTGAGTATGAATATTGTGACTGAATAGCTTTGCATCAACAGTCTTGAAGATTTTAATTCTTTAGCTCTTCTTATTATAAGACTTCAAGTCAATTTATTTCAACTTTCATTTTGCTGTTGGTCTTTCCCTGTATTTGTTTCACTGTGGGGAAAATCCTAAACCAGCCTTAATCACTTAAAAGCCAAGCAATTGTATGGCCTTATTTGCATAATTTGCTTATTCAGCTGTCTGAATAATAATTGCTGCATCATTTCATTAACCATGGCAGCCAGTGGCAAGTTGGATTCCATTGTGTGGAAGATAACTGCAATTCACAGGAGCAAATATGTTTGTAAAGCTGTCTGGTTCTTTTCTCCTTTATTCTTTCTAGGGCAGAGAAGGTGAACTTTTGGCACTCCAGATGTTTTGGGCTACAACAGCAATATAGTTTGGGGATTCTGAGAGTATTAGCCTAGAACATCTGGAGTACCAAAGGTTTACCACATAGGGCAATTTAGTTTTCAGAGGATCACATCTTTCAAAGAAATGCTGTGATTTACATAGAACATATTCTCAGTGTATGTTGTGCAGTTACGCTTTTCTCTGGGTTGCCATATTTTGTAGAGATTTCTGCAATCCTGTATAATATGATGCAAGAGAGCATCAAAACCAGAATTTTGGATGGAGTTTCCAATGATGTATTTTTGTAAGATGCATAAATTAGAAGTGTGATTTTTGATGAAGCTGCTGATTGTTTTAGTCATATGGAGAAGGAGGGAATAATACTCAACAACTTGCCTGCTTACTGTAAAGCAGTATATAGCAAAGAGAAGCTTGCAAGACCCTAACTTTTATCTGCTGGTGTCAGAAAGTTCGTCACCACAAAAGTTGTTTGAAGATTGCGATTTCAACTTTAAATTGGCCATTTTCTCATTTAACTATATTCTTAACATTTATGTAAATATTTGTAATCTGCATTTTATTGTAAAATTCCCCACCTTGGTTAAGACATTCTAAAATTAATGAAGTCTTTTATGAAATGAAATCATCCCATTGATTGACATTAACATTTATCATAGACAATCTAGACAAATTATCAACCTAATTGTGCATAAATTGCAATTAACATTTCTCATAGCAACCTAGACAAATTATCAACCTCCCTGTTCAGTAGGTTGGACTAGGTGACCTGAGAGACCCCCTTGTTCCAACTCAGTTATTCTAGGATTCTACCCTTTCTTTTAAAAAAATATGGAGACGTATACATGGATACCCATTTGTCTCCCATTCAGGCACTAATCATATGTGCACCTGTATAGCTTCATGCGGTTGCGTGGACTGCTCTTGATCATTCATCTTTGTCTATGTGTGAATTACCTCACATCAGGCTTAGTATTTATAAACAGGCTTGGCAGAAAGTTAACAGTACTTGAGTTCAGAAGCTGGTTTAGGTTGCTAATACAACACAATACTGTACGAGTGGCAGGATGAACCTAGCAAAGCAGCATGCTTTGGGTTTGAGGATATGTCACCATATATATTTTTTTATGGCTCAAGTTGGGCGGTAGCTGTAGCATTACAACGTCAGTCATTTTCATCTGAGTTAAGCTTAATTGCTAATAACCTTTAATTGCAAAGATAGTAATGGTAGTTTTCTGAGAAATAGCTTGGTGGCCAATTTCTAACTCTCTTGCTAATTAAGAGATTGGCCCTCAGTTAGATTTCTTGTAACCTTTTCTTCTTGTATGTAATTTAATAGCATCCCTTTTCCCCTTAGGCACCACCTGTCATGGCCTATCCAGCTACAACGCCAACAGGAATGATGGGGTATGGAATGGTCAGTAGCCATTTTTCTTCATTTTAAATGATAAACAGAGTGGTTTGCTTTGGTTTCTAGTATCACCTCTGTCTCTGCATTTGATGCATACGGGGAAGAGGAAGTTCCCTAACAAGGCAGAGAAAAGGAGAACAGTTTCAGCCCTGTCCTGTTCCTCCTTTGCAGAATTCATACTGCCAAGGGAAAGCTACTGCTTTTCACCATTGTTTCTTCCACTGCCTCACCCTTTGTTAACGTTTCCTTTAAGCTGTGTTCCGGAAACCCTTGGATTCACTTAATGGGAAGGGCAAGATGAGCTTTCCTGGAAAATGTGCCTCTCTGCCCCACTCAAAGTGTGCAGAGCAAGGTGGCTTGTGTTTCAGATTTAGTGAAGGCATTACTGGTTTCGTGGTGGTATCTATTACCTTGCCTAATGATGAACTACTCTGTGTTCTGTGGAGGCTAGCTTGCTTTATACCCATCCTGACCCACTCCCAAGGACCTGAGAGACAGAGATTCTATGACTGAACCTCCTGTGTGGCCACATCTCAAGTACGATCCACTGCCTTCTAGGCAGGCCATTTGGCCACCTGCTTCCTTCCTCAGGAAGTTCGTGTGGCTCATCTCTGCTGTTTTTCACTACCTGTTTAGGTCCTTTTTATTTGGACAAGGTTTAAATGTGTTTGCTTGGGTCTCTAATGGTTGTTCCTGCTATTTTTATTGCTTTTTATCTCCCTTATTCTGTTGTTGCTGTTGTTTAGTCATTTAGTCATATCAGACTCTTCGTGACCCCCTAGACCAGAGCACGCCAGGCCCTCCTGTCTTCCACTGCCTCCCGGAGTTGGGTCAAAGTCATGTTGGTAGCTTAGATGACCCTGTCCAACCATCTCGTCCTCTGAAGTCCCCTTCTCCTCTTGCCTTCACTCTTTCCCAACATCAGGGTCTTTTCCAGGGAGTCTTCTCTTGTTCTGTAATTTGTATTTATGATCTAAGTACACTTAAGGTGGCTTGGATCATATGAAAACAAAATAGATCATAAACACAGATTAAGATCATAAATACAGGTTAAGGAAAACAGTGGCAGTTAAAAACCAATTAAATTAGCAGGAACAACTATTGGAAACGTGATTGTGGAAGTGTAGAATGTTGCCTTTCCAGGCTGAATGTGGAATACCATACAGGGGAGTGCTTGCTTCACATACTGTACTGCCTTCAGTACACAGCGTAGAAGTTTGATACTATTTGATAGTTCTGACATAGTGAAAAGCATGAAAATGGTATAGGTCTCTGGCTGTGGAGCCAGAGGTTGGGAGTTCGATTCCCCCATTGCGCCTCCTTGACAGAGGCTGAACTCAGTGATCAGAGAGCCCCTCCCAGCTCTGCAGTTCTAAGGTATCCAAATCCTTCTATTTTATGAAGATGTTAATTTCCAGGTGGAATATACTGAGATTGTCATTGCTTCTTTATTAAAATATTTTACTTGTACTGTATTTACAATCTAAATTGTAGATTTTGTCAAAGTGAGAATTTTCTTTAAATTTCTTTGTTTGAAGAACTGAGGTGTGATATCCAATCCACAGCTGCCTCAGCTGTAACTTTCAAACAAAAGCTGTAATGCAGCCAGCGTAAGTTATCGCTCCCATTTCCAGACGGAGGGTTTGTGGTTTTTTTTCTGTATTCCCTCACCTCCTTAGCCAAGCAGAAGCATGGGAGTTTCAAAGAAAAGCCAAATGTGCCTCTTTGTTGAAGAACTGAGGTGCGATCTCCAATTTCACAGCTGCCTCAGCTTTAACTTTAAAACAGCCGTTCTAATGCGCAGCCTTGCAGCTTTCCTGATTTATATCTAAGAAGGGCATCTCTGGTGAAATCCGCCTTGCCAAGAACTTTTGGACTTTAAATTCTTCAAACTGCTACATGCCAAACAAAGTGGGTGACCCTGAGCCACAAAAGCCTGTCGATTGTATAGTGATATTTTAGAGTAGACTGTCTAGATGGGCGGCATATAAATGCAATCAATCAATCAATCAATCAATCAATATTTTTAGTGGTCTATAAAGGTATTTCCTATACTTGCGGTTGTGTTCTTAACATAGAATTACTTTGAATGTGAAAGTAGCACCAGCATTGATTTGAAATATAATCTCCAGGGGTCAGCACTAATAACTTTAATTTAGATGGGCCTCCTGCATGAAATTATTAACCCGATGATAGAATGCATAAAGTGAAGGCACCTGTGTGTCTGAACGTCGCATAATTCATTTTTCACTTCACTTTTTGTGACAGCATGGAGCAGACCCTCACTTTGGAAATGGAAAATAAATGGGAAGAGGTACCAAGCTCAAGATGGGGCTCTTTTGCAGGTGGTTTTAGATCTTAAGCTGTTTCGATGGTTTATTAAATTTTTTTCAGTCCTTGCACTAATGAAATAGGATTTTTAGAAATATTTTCCAGCGACAGTTCTAATTTTTTTTGTCTCTGTGGTCCTTTAAAGAGAGGAATGTGATATTAACTTTGTGCCTTTTTTGGATTTTTAGCCATCCCAAATGGGAGGAGTACCGGTAATGACACAACCAACCTTAATATACAGCCAACCTGTCATGAGACCACCAAATCCTTTTGGTCCTGTATCGGGAGCCCAAGTAGGTATCAAACGGTGCTATAAAGCCACAATTATCTGATGGTACAAACTGACTACAAGAATAATGTTTCTTTTACAGGATTTTTAAGAAACAATGTGTATTTCATTGTGCTGTTTGGTAGTGTCCTCATTCTGTGTAAAACATTAAGTACAGTATCCTCCTGCACAGGAACTTACCATTCCAGTAAAAAGGTCAAGGTGGAATAATAAAGATGTGGACTGACAAAATATCAAAAACCGAAAAGATTTTTGTGACACCTTAAAGGCAAATGAGTTCTATATCACATGCATTTTTGTGGCTTGCCGCTCACTTCAGATTCTTTTGATAGAATGAACTTCAATCCACAAAACTTTATGCCAGATAAACTATGCTATTCTTTAGAGTGCCATAAGATTCCTATTTTTTCCCCTGCAGCCAGTAACCCAGTTCTCCCATCAGACTGTCAAAGAACATCAAGGAATTGAGGTGCAAGTGATCCCAAACATATTTGAAACATATTTTGAGAAAGGAAGCCCTTTAATAGAGGAATTGATGGTTCAGAAATCAAAATACATGGGAGGGAGAATAGCAGCATAAAGAGGAAACGGCAGTAGTTGCTAATGTGCTGTATTGAAAATAGCTGAGAACAGTGAGTCTGTCGTAGTGACGCTGTGTTCTAGTGGTCATGTTCTCGTATTTTATCAAACAGGAGAGATGGGATTGAAGAATGATGGAGTCTGGGATAAAGATTTTTAGGGGTGTGCTAAGTTGTAGGTTGGTTTGTTTTTTTAAAACAAATGCGGGATTGCTGTGTAATAGGTACTGCAGATGCTCCTGCAGCTGTTTGGTTGCTTGTATAATGCTGAAAAGGAGTGAGCACTCGTGGCTTCTCAGTGCATTTGTGCATTGTAGAATATCGTACTCATGCAATTTCAGAGCCTCTGGCTGTTGTCTTTGTGGATTTTTTTGAGAACAAGCGAAGCCCCAGGAGGCAGGCAAATGTCATCATCATCTTCAAAAAGAGCAAAATAGAGGCACTGGGCAATTACTGATTGGTCTGCATGGATTGAAGAGAGGGTTTAGAACAGCTAATTGAACAGCTGATATGTGACCACTTGGAGAAGAAGGCTGTGATTACAGAAAGCCAAAGTGGGCGTGTAAAAAAACAAGGCATACCAAATTAATTTTGTTTTTGATAGAATAACAACCTTGATAGATCAGGGGTTAACATGATCATTTTTTTTTTGCAACAGATGATTGCAATAAGACTTCTGACAGAGTCCTGTTGATACTCAGTGGGTTTCTATTCTAATAAGTTCTTATGTTGGCTTTCCCATTGTTTCTTTACTTTAATGGATTAAAATTATTTGTAAATTGTGATTTGCCCACCAAGAGTTCCAGAGTCATATAAAATGAAAGTGTTTTATAAAGCCCAGAATGAAGCGTTCTCTATAAACGTATGAAAAGCAATTTGATAGCCCAAGTCCTCAAAAAATAATACTGTTTGATCTGTCTGTTGGAAGCTCAATAAAGATGGAACTAGTATAGTTTCATTTGGAGGGAGTTGCCTAGTCAAAGTTTTGCTAAAGTTTTGTCTCCATAGACTTACCAAGCTGTCATCCCTTGTGTGTGTGTGTGTGTGTGAGAGAGAGAGAGAGAGAGAGAGAGAGAGAGAGAGAGAGAGAGAGAGAGAGAGAGAGAGAGAGAGAGAGAGAGAGAGAGAGAGAGAGAGAGAGACTGGATCCCAAACTCATAGTGTCCATTCAGCTTTTGAATGCTTTTGTAGGACATTCCCACCTATAGCCCACGAGAGTGATGTGATGAAAAGGTGTGGCTAAATTTGCCTTCCCTAGGAAAAGGGGCAGTAATGGACGAGCTGAACATGGACAAAAAGCAGGATTCACAAAAGCAGGATTTTGAAGTTCTGGGAGGCATGCTGGGCCCAAGAGCCACCTTCAAGCTGTGAACTTGCTTCTTCAGATGGAGACCAAATCTATCCAGAACAAGTTGTAGTCCTGGTTTTGTTAATATGTTCTGCTAACCAAGAGACCTGTTGTCTTGTCTGGACTGTTTTCGGTTTGTTCACCCACGTCCAGTCCTTCACTTGCATGCCATTGAGAGATCTGACAGAATCAAATGCCCATGCCCAGCACCCATCCATCATTACAGATACTGAAGTTCTTTGCCAGGAGTGAAGACAGTTGAGTGTCTTGTGGGATATGTTGCACCGGTTTAGGGATATTTGCTCCTCATGTGCTACAATTATAAGAAACTTGATAGTAAGCAAATATCATTCAGCACCTTGCTCTTCATCATGGTCTCTGTGATTCACATACATGAATCTTACCGTGCTTGCTCCAGAGTTGTCCTTTCCACCTATGATAAAGAAGCTTTCCCGTCACCCAGTTATATGTTGCACAAGGGCCGCAACAAAGAACAGGCTGCTTGTCTGTAACTCATTCTTTAAGTGGACATCAGTGTAGTGATACAGTCAACTCATCTCCCCTTGTTCTTTGGTGGACTTGAATTGAGAGGGATGAACAAGATGCAGCACACATTTATGGTGTGCTGCTGGTGGTGGTTCCCACCAGAATTCTGCTGAGAACATTCCTGGGAGTTTGCAAAACTACAATGCAGCCCTTGTTTTTCAGTTGTACAGTGTTGTTGTTATTTTGCTTTAATGTTATGTAAACATCCAGAACTTAGATCAACCCGTAAACAACAGGCATAAACATTTCATTTATGTATGTACACACATATGTTTCAGTCAAGTCATCATATATAGCTTTCCTCCTCTCCCCATGATCCTTAAAACAACCCAGAGAGATAGCAAAGCAAAGTGTGCTGCTTATTTGCTGCCCGATAGCTCTTAAAACATTCTCTGGGTGGTTTATAATTTAATCATGGAGGCTATACATTGCCCCCCCCCCAAAGCAAACTGGGTACTCTGTTTACCGCCCTCAGAAGGATGAAAGGCTGAGTCAAACTTGAGCCAGCTATCTGAGCCCATCAGGATTGAATTCAGGTTGTGAGCTTGACTGCAGGACTGCAATTTAGCCACGGCACCTTGAAGCTCCTGTCAGATAGGCCAGGCTGGGAGTCATCCATTGAGTTTCATAGCCGTTGGAAGCACTGCATCTAAACACACATGACGAAAAAAAAATCTAAGAATCCTTCATGATAGCCCGGAAGCATTCAGTCAGCATAGCCTCTGGTGTAGCCCTTCGTGGCTTCTGAATATCTGGATATATCTTGACTGTACTGTATACTTAAAGGGTGAGATTTCCTGTGGGAGTCACCACATGCTGTTGGAAGCACACTCCTTCTCCCAAGTGCTTGTTGAGTTTGCCGCTGGATGGAGCAATTTGTTATTCCACCTGGAGCTCAGTTTTATTTTGCTGATGTCAGATTTATTAGTGTTTCTTGGGAAGGGAACAAAGGCCCGTTGTGGGGATTTACTTGGTGCCATGAGCATTGGCAGCCTTTGGCCTTTAAGCCTCCCCTGTCCCTCCACACTGGATGTATTGTGCACTCGGTGCCTGCTGTGGGGTTCCGGAAGAGGCTCTCCTTCTTGATCACTTCTTGGTGTGGGCAGGTCCTTTGCTCGTGAAGCTGTGTGAGTGGGAGAGCTTTCCACGTAACGTGAACCAAATGTGTTGCAAAAACTAACTAGGGTGGGTGACTTCCATGGAATTGAAAGAGGTTATTCATGGCCCCTGGCTCCCTGTCCCCTCCCTTCATAACCATCTAAAGCAAATAACTCCTCCTTCTTTGCTTCCATATTCCACTTGGTCATCTCCAAATGCAGAATGCTAGAAAGAACGTTTGATTCTTGATTTAGGTCGCCCTCTTCGTCCCATGAATTAAACTCTTGCGCCCCGATCGCATTGGAACTTGTGAACAAGCTTTCGTTTGCATGAGGTCTCCAGCAGACTGTAGTTGATGCTGCCTGGTCTTAAGAGGCAGCATGCTGTTATAGGAAAGATGACAGAGAGGACTGGCAAGTTGGCTACAGTAGTTGTTAGACCTCATAGCTGGTGTAAGTCGCCTGGAAGCTCCTTGCCACTGGGTTGTGCCTTGTGCCTGTGGATTCTCTGTGGGAGACATTAGCCATTAATTCACCACAGTATTTACACCTTAGTGAAGTCTTCCTGTGTTGGGTGACAGGAAACAAGATACAAAAGGGGCAAGGTGACATCAGAGCAGTAAAGAATACTTGCATGCAGCTTAAACGGGGCATTTTAATACCCCTGTTCCTGGGTAGTTACAAACAAGATTCAGTTGTTTCCAAGAGAAACCATCAAAGGGTTTCCTTCACTCCACCTCAAAATATTTTCTTCTCCTACCTTCTTTCTTTTAATAATAAACTAGAAGACCTAAGAACATTTTATCAGAACTTGAGCCCTGAATAAATTTGATAATTTTCACGTCTAATGTTAATAGGAGTGTATAAACAGACAGCATGTTTTCAAATAATCTGTAAGTATACAGCGAACCTTCCTCTTGAGGGGCTGCTGCACAATGCCATATGTGGTTGGCCAGGGGAAGGAAGAACAGCTCTCTTGACATGTGATGGATAAGGAAATCCTTCTGGGAACAGTGAATTCATCAAACAAACAAGCCAAAACAATGTAGCAACTCAGTTTGAGAGATTTTAAGTGAGGAAGTTCCTTGGACTCCTAACCTTAAGGCTGAATATACTTTGGAGTAAGCCCTGCTGAACACAGTGACATGTGTTGCTTATACTAACTGAACCCATTGGGACTGAACTCAGTTCACGAACTGCAGTGCTGCAGTTTAACTACTGCACCACAAGGCTCCTAGTAATAGTAGTGTGTCTGCACTATGCAGTTCTAGCAGTGTGATACAACTTTAATTGTTATGGTCTTCTAGGATTTGTAATTTGGTGTGGTATTTGGGATTTTCTGCTAGAATGCTCTTGTAGTTTAGCTCAGTGCAAGGCACTAAACCTCTCTAGGGTAGGTTTCTGATGATATTACCTAATTATAGATCTCAGGATCCCGGAGGACCTATCCATGATGGTTAAAGAGCTATCAAAACAAAAGCCTCTAAGACAGGGCGGGGCTTGACGGCCGTTCTTCCCATTTGCTATTACTCTGAGGCATGACCCCATAGGGGTGTGGCCAAAGTGAGGGCTGTGGCTAAGTAATTTTCATAAATTATAGTGATTAATTTACTGTGATTTCATTACTGGTTGCATTCATGTATTATTTATAAAGTTCTCACAGGGTTAACTGTTGTTTGCCTGAAGAATGTTATTGAAACAAGGAAGTCTACAGGCTCCATGTTTATCTGGTAGTTTGTGGATTGGACTGATAGTTATTTCTGGAAGACCCATTTTAGGAAGTAAGCACAGAGATTGAAGACTTCCTTCTTTAATTGTGATCATTGGCATACTGAGAATTAAAAGTTGTAACCTCTTTTCTGCCCGGAGAACTGTAGAACTAGTCAAATTGATTGGAAGGTGTTCTGTTTCAGCAACAGAGAAGCTGTGGTTTGTGGTGACGATTGTCTATTGCCTTCCTTTTTTTTCTGGGAGGTCTCGGATGACTGCCGAAAAATGAGTCAGGGATTGCCTATTGCCCCTATCTCAGACCTACGGTATCTCTGAATAAACTTGAATGGAGAGTGGTAGGTTTAGGCCAGGGTGGAAGTATCAAAAATTCTGCCTTACAGAAAACTGCTGTATATCAGGTCAGATGGGTAAACCATCAAGAGGGTTCTTGTCCATTCTGACCAGTGGCAGCTCTTTGGGGTCAAAAACTGACATCTTCTCCACCAAGTACCATCTGACCTTTTTTTTTTAAACTGGAGGACACCACTGATTGGGATAAGTCCTTGTCACCAGCAATAAGATTTTCTCAGAATAAGACCCAGAAAGCAGAACTTGCGAGGAGTATTGGAGGGCATCCGCTCTTTTGCCAGTTCATGTTGAAGGAAGCTGGAACCGTTTCCAGTGGCATTCAAGATAATTCTGTGCCATGTGGCCTGAAATCAGGGCATCAGCAAATGTCTGCAGGGTACAAAATTCAGTCGCCAGAACAAAATCAACTGTTTTGGCAGGCCAAAATCACAGTGAGAGGTTGTTTTGCTGGAATCCCAATCATTCTTTCTCCCATAGCCATGAGGTAGATTTGCCTTCTGGCCTACAGTTAGGAATATATGATGGCTCTGTGCCATAACCGGGTTCAAGTGTCTGCTGCTTATGCAACAGCTGGCACCTTGTGCTACAGGCTGGCAGTCCTTTTAGTGTAAATAGTATTACCTGTGAGGCCCAGATTTGAAAAGACTCTGTTCTGGCCTCTGCTGTCTGCAGATGGACGTCTTGTGGTATCTCATGGGGTTCATCACCTGTATCTCTTGTGTTCGTACCCTGGAATTCTCCTTTGCTGTGGGTAGTTTTCCAACTTCTGGATCTTCCCTGTTATTGGATTAGGGTTCAACTTTGCACACAGCCTTTTTTTCCCAATCAGTCCATTTCAGCCCTGACAACCTACCTCCAAGCTGCCTCCTCTACCATTGCATTTTCTGCCTTCATGTTTCTCTCATTGAGGCCTTCTTTTTCTCTCTCTCTCTCCCTCTCTGCCATGATTTCTCCCAGCTGTCTCCAGCATCCAGCCCATCCACTCAGAGTCCTCACAGAGCAGCTTCAGGAAAGGATCCTTTTGGAGAGCTCTCCCTCCAGGATTTCTTGTAGGACTATTTAGGTATTGCATGTTGAACTCCGGCCGGGGGCCTTGGCAAATTGGATCCTGCCTCAAAATGTGTTGAATGCTTCTGGATAAACATGAGCACCTCTTTAGAAATACTGTGATATTAAAATAACGCATTTAGTAGGGAGGGTGCTCTATAAAATATGCATGTTGTGATTCTTTGGCCATATATAAACGATGGAATTTAATGTGAAAACTCAGGCACTTAAGGAACATACAGGGATTTTCTTTTCTGTGTTCAAGAAAGATTCTGGCCCTTATAATGACAGAGAAAAATTTGGAAAATCTATACTTGTTGAAAATGATAGAGGCACCAGTTCATGTATGTCTATGTGTTTGTGTGTGTGTGAGAGAGAGAGATGAGGAATCGGAACCAAAAGAGCATTTGACTGTTGTGGTTCTGTATTCTCCCCTTCTCAGAGCTGTCCTTCCACCTTAAATATACCATGTCTCCCAAAGTGTTTTTCCCTATGAAATAACAGGTTCTGCACATTCTTCATAGTCTTGCGACTGAGCACATTATACAAGAAGAGACCATAGTCACCTAAATCATTTCAGTTTATTAGAATTGTCATTCTCCAGAAATACCACTTTTCTTCTTTCATTTGTGCCCTCAGAGAGTAATATTGCTTGCAGTCTGGTAGTTTTAAAGCTCCCAAGAGTTTAAGACAGAGGCTTTAATTTAGTGTTAAAATCCCTAGCAAAAATACCCTTCTGTTGGTTCCTCGTGGATATTTTCTGCACACAAAAGTCAGTTGTCAGCAGAACTGTTCTATGATCCTGTGCCCAGTTTCATTTTGCATGTGATCATAAATTCCCATTTTGTTTGCAGTTTTCATGAGTTACAGCAGATGTTTTGAATTCACTCATCAGGGTAGAGGATGGCAGAAATGCAGCAGCTGCCACATCCACACTGTGCCCTCCAAATGTGTTGAATTGGGGCCAAAGTAATTCACTCGGTGTTGCATTTACCTATACAGTTTGCATGACCTAAATTGTTTGGAAAAACTTGTCTATTTTTTGTTGACTAGGTACTGATGTCACTATGTTTCTTGTCAGTCACTTGCAGCTTTATTTTGAGTTCCAGCTTATAGATAATACAATATAGTTTCCCTAGAGGTATGAGGGGAACAGAACTTTCCTTGGATAATGCTGATCCCTTTTTCTCTCTCCCCCAGATACAGTTCATGTAACCGTGCCAGATGGCTTGCGGCGAGAAGAATTTCAGAAAGACACGTGCTCAACAACCCTTCATTCCAGCCAAATCAGAAACAACACATCTCGAACTCTTCCTTATCAGAATGATCCACTAAAGTCGCACAAAGCCCACAACTGCAGTACGAGCACCAACCAAGAGAAGGCTCGGCGCCCTCCTGCACTCAGTATAAAGCCAAGAATTGCCGCAGTTCTGGTGTGGGGTCTTTTATTTCTCCCCTTCCCCACGTCCAGTGACTTAACATGTCAGTAACTCTCACCGTAACCTCGATTGTGAAAACACACAAAAAGAAGCCTCCTTTTTTTCTTCTTCTTCCTATGAAGGGTGAAACGTGTACCTGGAACTGCAGTTTGGAATGAAGAGCAGGGTGTCCTTTTACCATTAACTCCAGTGACTCTTTATCTAGGGGGATCAAATCCTAACTATCCTAACTATTCTCCAGTTCCCTCTCTTCAGTCATCACAAATGTTAGACTCAATAATGGAAAAGTTTAACTTTTTAAAAGAAAGAATTATATATTCCGTTTGCATAGACATTCCTTTATGTATTATTGTTCATATTTATTTATGATTATCAGTTTAAGTAACAGTGTATCAGAAAGCCTCCTTTGGGAGGGAGGGAGTGTGAGTATATACGGTATCTCTCCCTTTGGGGGTTCTTTCCCCCCCCTTCTTCCCATTTTCATTCACAAGAATGATGCTGATTCAAGCTGCATCTTCACCCATTACGTACCCATCCACATGGAGCACCAAGTATGTTCAAAGGTCTGAAAGCACCCGTTGTCAACATTCCACAGGAAGTAGAGGTGTCAATATATTAAACCATCTGTTCCATTAAAAATTGTGGCAAGGGGGGGGGAAGGAGACAGCTGACTGATTGGGAGGAGCCCAGTATTTCTGGACCAGGTGTTAGTGCTTCTGGAAAGAACTTACCTTGCTTTATGCTTGGCATGTCATTTATCTTACACTTGACATACGGCCTTTCCAAAATGAATGTGAGGAATTGCTTTCACTTTTGAGACTTTCCTTCTTGTCTGTGTAAATTCCCCCCCCCCCAATACATGTATAATGTCTGAGATACTAAGTGAAAAACGCCTTGTCCTTTCCTCTCCTACTCTTAATTTTGGCTAGTGCCATCTCCATGAATCATGTACCATGAAACAAAATAAAATTTTAGAAGGGAAGTAGCATCTTTATTAACAGCGTAATCCACCATGAGGTTCTCAGGCACAGTCTTCAGTTCAAGGGGGCTTATGCAGGAGAGCTTCCCAGTGTGTAGGTCTCTCAGTTTGTAGGAATCCTTTTAGTTTTCTGCAGAATTTGAAGCAGCACTGTTGATCGGTGCTTTGTGTAAATACATCATAACCAATTTGGGTGGCATCTGGGGCCTTAAGAAGGATAGTCAAAGGCATGAAAGCAATTCTGTAAATGAATTACGCATACTTGCTGCATTGTCTCCGCAGATTCTATTTTTGTTTAAAATCTTAAAATGTACGTTAGCAAAAAAAAAAAGGTGGATTTTCAAATAAAATGCAGCTTCCACAGAACTTTTGTTATGATCTGCAGTGGTCAACTGGTGTGGGCCCCCCATTTTTCACATTGCTGTAAAATAAAATGTGTCATAGTTATTGAAATAGCTGCTGTACTTCAGGCACATCATGAGAAGAGAAGACTCATTGGAAAAGAAAATAATGCTGGGAAGAGTTGAAGGCAGCAGAAAACAGAAGGACCAAGTAAGAGATGGAGTGATTCAGTAAAGGAGGCCACAGCCTGGTGTTTACAAGGGTTTTGTGGTGAACTTTAGATAGAAAAGGTCCTCGTACTGGAGAGCTAAGAAAGGATGAAATTTTGGGACATGGCAAGGACACCACCACCACCCCCAGGTTTCTGACTTGGTGTATACACCCCATGTCTCTGTCCTGTTTTAAATAATGCACAAGTGTCCCAACAACAGTTGCTCCTTAAAACTAGTCAATTGCTTCTGGTTAAGACTTCCCTTTTCCCGGAAGGAAGACTCCCTGGAAAAGACACTGATGTTAGGAAAGTGTGAAGGCAAGAGGAAAAGGGGAGGACAGAGGACGAGATGGCTGGACTGTGTCATCGAAGCTACCTACATGAATTTGACCAAACTCCGGGGGGGCAGTGGAAGACAGGAGGGCCTGGCGTGCTCTGGTCCATGGGGGTCACGAAGAGTCGGACACAACTAAACTATAAACAAGACTTCCTTCTCTTCCCTCTTGATCCCATCCATACCAATTTTCCCTAATTTGTCTTAACATCTGATATGGCTTCATATGCTTTCTCATGCTTAGCATAAGAAAAAAGGGGGATGAGCTGAAAACTACCAATTCTTTTTATGACCCTAGGACACAGGAACTTGGGGCTCTTTAAGAATAGGATACATTGGACACTGGTTTAAACCTCTCTGGTCCTACTGCATTCCTTCAAAATGAAGTGTTTGACTTCTGGTGTGCGTAGGTGCTGTTTAAACGTCTAGTAACTTGTCTTGCAGCTAGGAAACCCAAGGAAAAATTAACACCTGTTATATATTTCCTTCATTGTGTGACTGCTTTTGGTCATGAAAATAAAACAGGTCCATGTGAAGTTTCAGAACAGGATAGATCATATTTCTCAAGTGCCTAGTGGCCGAAGCAGGTGAAATCTCCTGTCTTTCAATGATGTAAGCTGCCCTTGGGTCCTTTTAAAGGAGAAACATGGGGCAAAGTATCAAATAACTATACTGCACATACTCAAGCAACGCCCCAACCCATTATGGCTTCAGGCCAATTGAGAAAGATTTGGGATGTCCAGAATGAAGCATGAGTTCCCCTGAATCCAACAAAACGAATTTGCACATTGGAAGTTTTGCTGGGAGAATTTGAAGGACATAATGCCTGGAATCCAGTAGTAAGTTACAAAAAGAGGAGGCCCGCTAAATAGTGGCGATTTCAGCCATCAAACTCTTAAGTTTCATTGACAGCTTACTACTTAATTTCAGCCAATGTATCTTCAGAAACGGACAGGTCAATGAGCTGCAGGCGCCCATCTTTCAATTTTAGAGGGCCAACGCCTCACCACAATTCTTGTCCCAGTTTTTTTTCCTTACAATTTTTTATTCTACTGAAAAATTTCCTTTGCCCCCTCTAGTGGCCAATTATTTTATTTTTAGTGTTAAAGAGCTGAGGGGCTGTGTATCGCACACCCCTGCTCTCAGGGCAACAACATTACCAGCTTTTTTTACTTCCAGTTTTCAAGGGTGGAGGTGCAGGTATAGAATGAATTTATCAAATTCTTCCTGTGTCCATTTTGCAACGGTGACGAGACCCACAACATATGTGGATGATGCTACTGACCCACACTTCCTAGCTGGTAAAGTAGTGCTGCATCAAATCCCTACCACCTGAATGCAGCTACTTTCATTTTTCTTTCTACAGATGGTAGCTTGCAGCAGTGGCTGCAACTTTATAAAGCATAGCACAGCAAATTTCTTCACAAAAGAAAATGTTGGGTGAGTGCTAAGCAAATATTATTTGGGGGTGGGCTGTAAAGACTGTGCTCAAAAGCCACTGTGCTTATCTGTCCAGATTTGCAAATCTCTTCCATATTGGCATTTCTGTGCTAGAAGCACATAATGACTACAATTTTTTTCAGACAGGCCGTTTGGCACTAGTCAAAATCTTACTGCTTAAAGTACCAAATCACAGTAAAGTATCAGTGGGATCTGGTGAATTACCTGTGCAAGTTTTGTTGATTTAAATGGCCCTACTCTGATTGCAATTTACTTACGCGTAGTAAATCACTGAGTACGCCTATTTAGATCAAATGGATCTAAATAGAGGAGTTGGCTTACCAAATCCCCTTGATTAAATGCACTCACTCTAGTGCGATTTGATCACAGTCTGTTGTTGAAAAAGCTTTAAATGCTTGCATGGTGGCTCTTATGTTTTGTTGCTTTTTTGTGGATTTGCTTTTATCCTAAATTTTGATCAAGGTTTAATTTTTACTGGATATTACTACTGTCAGCCTACATCGCCTTTTTGGTAGAAAGGCAGGATGCACATTCAAAAAAGAAGGAACAGGTGGAGTTTTTAGTCCATCCCCCCCCCCCCCCCGCGAAAANAATATATATATTGAAAGCACAAAAAACCTTGAACTTATTCTGGATTTTTTCAGGGTGTTTCTGTAAGAGCATGTTTATTGTGTGTCCTCCTTACTCCTCTTTGTGAAAGAAAACAAAAATCAAATGAAAACTGCAGCCATCTGCAATTTGGCAGGCTAGTTTCTCAGAAGGAGTTACAGTACTTGTGACTGAAGATCACCCAATTCAATTCTGCCAGAAGCAAAAGCATTAGAAATATTTGTTTTTCCATGTCTAATGAGAGTCAATGAGTATCATCTGTCCCACAATGGTCTTGCCACCAAAATACCTGGGTCAATTCAAGTTACTAGTGTTCACCCTAAGTCAGGCTTGATAGCAAGTTGCAATTCGCGGTTCCCCATCGCTGCCCATTTCATACACTGTTTGAACCCTCTAGTAGTACAGCAGTGCTACTGTGGTATTAGCTGTAACCCGTATCTCCTGCAAACACTTCCTCTTCTTCCTTGAAAAACCCTCTTTCATATCTATGTCCGTGGAGTGACTTATGAAGAGAGATAAGAGAAACGTCAGTCTTTCCCCTTCCACCCAGCAAAATCGCATGCATCATATAAGTCATGGGAATGCAGGACATGTAATGTACATATCATTGCCAACACAGTTGGTTTAAATATTTTTATTAAGTAATTCAACTATAAACATCACAAACAAAGAGAGTCTCTACAAACTACAACCTTTTCTTCTTCTAAGAACTCTTGTGTTTTTGTTTCTTATTAAGGGAATACAGATTTGATCATCCGATAGGTGATGTGGTGGGCAGACCTACTAGGATCATATTTCTCTTCAAGTTGGGTTTTGCTTGGCATTTCTTTGATATCTTCATGAACTGGCATGGTTTGGCCCACGACAGTCATTAACTTCACCTCCAAAGGTCCCAGATCCTTGTATTCCTGGAGTTGAACACAGGAATGGATGATTATAGTATTCAGCAACAAATGCTCTTGATAAGCTGCCATTCATTTCCTGTGCTCATGTTTTACAAATGTTGGAATCTTTCCTCATGGAAGACAACTTAGCATATCGGTATAGGCTAGATTAAAAAAAAACTTGCATAGTACTGCAATGGTTAAGTCTGTTCAACCAGTAATGAGAATCTCTCCATTCACCCTGATAGATTCTAAGCTAATCAGTGACAGGGCAAAAACAGACATTATAGGTAACTTTTCACTTGAAGATAAAATCCTTACCAGCTGATTGTGTTTATCAACACCGCTCTTGAGTCTGCAGATTCATTCTCTTTCATTCCGTGATTGGCTGTCCAGATTGAAGGTCAAGAGTCTACTGGGGTTTAATGGGAGGTCTGCCCAAATGAAATACCTTCAACGGTAATATGCTTTCAACTCCAGTGCTGGACCTCCTCTAATATCGATTCCTGCCCTTAGTCTAACCTGCTTCCTAATCTTGGTGTAAGGATATCATGTGACGGGTGAAGTTTGACCTCCTTGGCTGAAAGGCAGGTTACCCCACAAAAAAGTGAAAATAGGCTATTATATAAACTGAAATAAATCATAGCCCTAACAACCAATTTGGGCATAGCCCTTGTAATTGCCGCACTTTTGCAAATGTTTGAGAGTGGAACTGCCTACATAAGCAGATGTATCTGAGTGAGAACTTTCTCCATTCCAGGGGAGCTACTAATTTATCCTGAATTTTCTGATCTCTTGGCTTCTGCTTATCAGGAGCAAACATTGTTCTTGCACGGGAGTGAAATAATAGATTTCTCTGAGAATTCCCATATACTCCTGACCACAAGTATGTATGTAATACATCATAGTATGCAAATTAAAAGGGGCAGAGCAACATCTCTGTCCTTGGCCAGCAGAAATAATATACATATTATTCTATCAGTTATCCCCCCCCCCCAAACCCATGGTAATAAATGAAACAAAGTGCAATTCACCTTGAAATAATTTGTGTCTTCATACAAGATGGGGGGAAGAAAGGGTTTGCCTGGATGTCCTCGCAGGTAGACTACATCATCTTTGCTTTCCTCCTCTCCCAAATTCTTCTTACTTTCTTCGCTTTGTTTCTCCTCCACAGTAAGGACAAGTTCAGATGCTGAGGTGAGGTTATCATCTTCTGCTTGTCCGCCTTGAGAGGGAAATTAATACTTTGTGTTTGTTGGGAAATTATACTGGGTGCTTCTTGGCAAACTGGTCTCCCTTGCTTGGAAATCCCCTCTTTTGTCGATCTGTCCAAGCTTGCCTCATTAATGAAAAATCAAAGGGGGGAGATGCAGATGTGCAGGACCACTGTTTCCTAAATGAAGTTGGCTACTTAACTGGAAAAATATTCATCGTAGCTTTGATCATGGATGTACCCCGTTAATTTCCACTGCCAGCTGGACTAATTTTCTCTGCTTGTGTTTACAAACTATATTTATCTATATCCACCCCTGTCTCGTCCTGCTTTTCCTCCTTTTGCTTCATTCCTTTGGACTCCACGCTTATTCAAAATGGAAAGTTATTTCCCCTTTCCTGTCCTGTCGATTCTGTAAACCAAAAGCACCGTCAACAGGGATTGCACTGTACGGATTTCCTTTATTGTTTATAAATCACTTCCCTGCTTACGCATCAAAGATACCAAAGTGGCTAATAAAACAGCCATGAGCATCCAAAAACAGTAAAGAAAATAAAAATACAGGAGCGATGAGTTAAGAAGTCAGTAGACGAAGCAGAACCCAATCAAAATGGCAGAAGGAGCTTCCACAAAGTAACAGCCATGGCTTTCCAGCCACCTTGCTTCTTACTAAGCAGTGGAAGACAATTAAAATTGCAAGCTGGCTTCCATGAAGGAGGCACTGCAGACTTTAGAGCAATGGTTCCTAATCTTGGGACCCCAGATGTTTGTTGGACTACAATTCACAGAAATCCTAGCCAGCACAGTTAGTAATGAAGATCTCTGGGAGTTCTAGTTCAGGAATACCTGGGGACTCAAGTTTGGGAACCAAACCGCTTTAGAGGATTGATGGAACAGATGCCAGAGCTCTGCTCTAAAGCTATAAATCGTGTTCTTCAAAAGAAACTGAATTAAACCAAGAAATAAGAGACTCTTGAGAAAGTGCCAAAGACCCAATCATGCACAAATATGATTAAATTCCACAGGGACATGCCAACTGATTGAGTTTGTACAGCGTTCCTTCCATACAATCTCTAGAAACGACAGAACAGGGAAAGGACCATGTTCAGAGTTACTGTATTTGGAAATTTTACATTTCTTGGAAACAGAAACTCGATGATTGCATATGTGGGCTTCAAAAAGTATGTGTGGACCATGTTGGCCAATTCTCAGAAGCAGGAAGAGAGAAATAAGGAGAAGGCCTGTATCTGTGTCTGCTTGACTTCAGGTAGGGTGTGGCAAACATATTTCACTCTGAAATCACTATGTTAGCCTTTGGAACAACTTTGTAAGGTAGAACACAACAGGGCGGGCCTCAGGACATCTGCAAACAAGTGTCTCAGCAAGCAAAGGCCATGGACAACATTTTGTTGAGTGCCTTGAAATTTCCTAGCATGGCTTCTCTCCAAACATGCACCTTCTCTAGTGATCTGTGGAATCTGGGTTAACTAAGGGCCACACTAAACATAATTGCTGCTGCTGTTTAATTTGCATCTGCCCTATTCACCTCTAAAATCCAAAGACGCCTAGTCTATCACATAAAAAACAAAGGCTCCACAAGAATGGGGAAAGCCATGTTTTCCCCCAGCCTAGCTCACAACCTGCTGTCCAAGGCACCTTCTTTTCAATCTCTCTTTTTGGGAAAGGGGAAGAATTGTGGATGGTATGAAAAGCCTTTGGGAGTTTAGCTCCTCTTATCTGTGTTCCCTTAGGATAACGAAACTAATCTTTATTTTCTTTGCGTTCTCGAAGGCTTTCACAGCCAGCATCCAATGGTAGTTGTAGTTTCAGAATCAAACAGCATGAGAAACACTGCAGACTAAAACAACCGGAAAAATCAGCAGTAGCTGAACACGACCTGAAACAAGCGAGACATACAATTCTATTTCAAAAAACTGAAGTACTGGACAACATCAGCAATCATTATGTTTGACTACACAGGGAAGCCATTGGAATCCACAAACACCAGCACAGCTTCAACAAAAAAGAAGAAAGTCTAAAAATCAACAAAGCCTGGCTCCCAGCAGTGAAAAATACAGCCTGCAAAAAGTTCAATGAACTCTACCCAGCCACAAGGACCTGTGATCACAGCACACAAAAGACTAGCCAACAACACCCATCAATTACAGTGACAGATTATCCCCCATCACAACAAAACACCCATAACAAAAAACACCCTGATCACAGAAAACACCCAATCCCCTGAAAAGAACAAAACCATGATCCCACAGCTACAAACACTCAAAAATCCCACACACTATGCCAGAACAGAGACAGAATTCCAGCTCCTATCCTGGCAAAATGTTAGGAAGAAAATCCTCCAGAACACGGCTAAACAGCCCGAAAAACCCACAGCAACCATTTATTTCCTTTATTTGTATCAGGGCATTGAACTATTCAAAATCATGGCAAACAGGAAATATAGGCAAAATTAAAAAATGAAAGGTCAAGACAATCGAACTGTTTTTGACCAGGAGAGCCATGTGTGCTGCCTTGAGCTCACTGGAGGAAAAATTGGATAAAAATTCCATAAATAACTTGGGATGTCCACATGTGTAATTTCAAGGACTGCCTTTAAAGTTCTTATTGAATATCATTGAATTTCTTTAAAAATACACTAAGACCCCCTTATCTTTTGGATCAGTATCTGCTGATTTACTTATCCAGAGCCTGAAAACATTAAAAGAAAAATCCCAGAAATAAGTATTTCTAAACATAAAGTTAACATAACTGAACTGGCCACTAGGCAGAGTCAGTGTCATGCTATGTATAAACTTTGCTACAATCTGCATTTTATTGGAATCCACGGGGGGGGGGCTTCAAACCATTCTCTACGGATACAGGGGTTCTACTATAAGTGATTATAACCCTGTTCTTTAATGATGTTCTCTTGTATTAATAATTACACATTTTTATATGTTTAAACACTCGTGGGGGAGCCTATTGGTCAGTATTACAGTGGTGCCTCGCTTAACGATTGCCCTGCATTACAATGAATCTGCTTTACGACAATCTTTTTGCACAATCACATGTCCATGATCACATAATGCAAAAGAACACAGACGTTGTAGATATGTTCATCAAATAAACAGGGTAATCCAAACTCCGGTTCAGCACTAAGTTAGTCACAAAAGGCAAAAGACGGAGGACTTGGGGGCCCTCCATGTGGTGCTGTGTGAGTGATACCCCTCAGCAGCACCCACTGCAATCAATGGTCAGGGCTGATGGGAATTGTAGTCCAGCATCAACATATGAGCCGGGGTCTCCCCTTCAGTTTGGGCCTGATTCAAACTTCCTGGAAGAAAATCTTGACTCAAGGTTAGAGCACACAAACTAGCAGAAGGCTCATCAGGAGCCTGGTCTACCCCAGTACTGTAGTAACATGGTTATTTTAATACTGATCTCAGCGGGAAGTATCATTACCTTCGTAGTCACTAAGTCCCAGCATTGGTAGATCTTTTCCAGAAACCTGTAGGCCAGCTCCCTGGGTAAGAAATAATTTTCTGGAAAAATTAGAAGAAAAAGTAACATCAAAAGGTTTGCAATGTTATTTCCCCTTGCGAAGACTGGCCTCTTTGTAGAATGCCTGTTTATATTGGCAAATCAGTACTCACTGACCTACCACTGGAATGATTTCTGAGCTTGCCCTCATGTCTGTTAGGTTCCTGGCCAGTGGAAATGCACCACTGTTTTCCTTGGGATGCTTACAAGAAGCATGGCTTCAGGCATGTACGGGTTCTACCCTCCCCCCGTGCAAAACTATTCCAAAGCCTGTACCTTCCTTCCATGCTCCCTCATTCAAGACATGGGTAACAGGGAGAGCCTTTATGTCTCTCTCTTCCCTTGCCAATGGGAGCAGAAGTATGGCCGAAATCCAGCAGTAAGTTACAACAGTAGGCCCACTGAATCTGGGCATCTGGCAACCCAGCTTCTCTGTAAGTTCCATGGATTCAATGGGCCTACTCTAGTTGAGACTTACTAATAGATTTCAGCCAGCATATAGGAAATTCATTGTTTCCCCCCATCCCTAAGTTGTTGACACTAGGTTTTCGGGCAAATCATGTCTCCTGGTGCTTTTCAGAGATATTTGATGCTGAATGTGGGACCTGCTAAATGCAAAGCATGTGTTCACACACACAATACACAAGGGAACTTTTAGTTTACCTCTGGCATGTTTGTCAGGATGTCAGAAACACCCTGGTGGCTGGTGTTCCTTTGTTTTCTACAAAGTAGCATAAGACCAAAATGCAAGGCTGGTCTCCCTGACTCCCACCAATATGGTTTTTGCTAAACACTTTAGACGAGGATGAGTAACATCCAGTCCCCCTGAAGAAATCTAGACCCCTTGAAACTGGGGAATAATGCAAACATTTTAATAACTTAAAATGATAATGTGGTGCACTATCCATTCAGTCTCAAGCGCTTTCAAATTTCACTGGCAAGACGTGAACCTGCACTTAAATCCTTGGCACATTTTTGAGGAGTTTATCCCAGTGAATTTTTCTGAGAAAATAGGTTGAAACATAAACTACCCAGAATGTGCTTTTGTATCATGGTTATCACAATGTTTCCCACTTAGAAAAGTATAACTGGCCACAGGAATATAAAAATGAAAGCAAGATGATTTATTCATTTAGATTACTTGCAGCCACATGCTTTGGGGCTGGGTAGAAAATCAACTTAGTTTTTGTTTAGCCTGAGAGTCAAACATACCGTATTTTTCACCCCATAAGACGCACTTTTTCCCCACAAACAGGGGGGTGGAAAGTTTGTGCGTCTTATGGAGCGAAGAAAACAGATTATATTTTCCTGTTTTCTTCTCCTAAAAAATTGGTGCGTCTTATGGAGCGAAAAATGCGGTAGTTAGTTAGTTACTTAAAATATTTTTACACCACCTTTTCCCTAAGAAAGGGCCCGAGGTGGCTTACACCATTAAAACACGATATTAAAGCTAAAAACAGTGAATTATTCAAATATTAAATGAATTAATAACATATTAAATGTGTTAGGTAAAACATTGCTAAAACTAGCACCCTAATCATTTGAAAAGTAGTAGAGAAAAGCACTATTTATCTTTTTAAAAAATCTGTCACAGATTAAAAGGGCAAGGAAGCGAGTAAAACAGTCTATCAGATAATTTAACAGATGATTGACTCCTTGTTCCCCAATTGGATGGTTATACAATAGTGGATGTCTAAAAATTTTATTCTCTTGCCAAGAGCAATTAGTAGCTATTCTAAACAGTTTAGCACAAGAGCTTCTCAGCCAAACGGATGATTATGAGAACAGATTCAGCGGGGCATTTGTTTCATTTTAATCAGAAAGAATACAGCTTGATTTGCTAATTTTGTCCCTTCTGTGCCAATGCTAGAAAATAAAACCTCTACTTTCCCCACATCTCGTGGATTCTTAATAGCTTCACGCCCGAAGAACATCTATGAAACCTAAAAGTCCACATATGCACTTTAATTACTGGCTGAACTTGCACACAAGAGGTATTGCACCATTTGTGAGTTTTTCATTTATTATCTTTCCCAATTTATCCTACAATGTCTACTGTTTTATATACTTTAGATGTTCAAGTATCTGGCAGAGAGCCAGAGCTGGGAGTTCGATTCCCGCCGTGCCTCCAGGGAGAACAGCCAGCCTGGGTGGCCTTGGGCAAGCTGCACAGTGTTCCCAGGGCACCCTAGAAATAGGGAATGGTAAACCACATCTGAGTACTTTCTACCTGGAAAGCCCTGAAAAACGTTGCTATAAGTCAGAACTGGTTTGGCAGCACATGGTAATGATGAGCCTGATTCTACTTAAGGTGCAAGGGCTTTCTTTGATGCACCAGGTTTCTGCATACACATTCTCAAATACATCTCTGCCTCCGTAAGGCCTAGAAACATGCTTTTCAAAAAGTTTGAATTCCCAGGTGTTTTGCACTCCTAGCTCTATTGCTTCTTCTTCGGTTCTTCTCATCATGTATTCCCTTACCCTGATTATGTTTTCATATTTTTCCATATTTCTTATCCTTCTCCAATTCTATCTACCCCTACATTTCATGTCAATGCACTTCATTTTTATAAACGTCTGTGTCTCCAGCAACACTAATCTGAAGACGGGTCTTTTTCCCGTTAATGAAACAGATACTCTTGTATTTGGCCAGGGTCTTGCAGATTTGCTGTTACAAGGAAACTGGATTGCAGAAGGGGCCAGATCCTCCACATTTCTGGACAGAGCTGAAAGGGAGCTGCTCCAAAACACCCCACATGTAGAAGTCCCTTTACCTTGGCACATTGAGAAACTGTAGTCTACGTTCAAACAGTTTGTTGATGAGATAGATGTTCTCCTCCTCCAGTTTATGCACAGAAGCTTCCAAATCGTTCACTTCCTTTCGGTAAGCTGCCACCTGCCATGAAAGAGGGAACTCAAGACTGAAATCCACCTAGAAACATGCAAGGAGGAGAGCCCGAAAAACCCACAACAAGCAGAAGGAGGAGAGCTTCCCATTTTTCAGAAAAGGATGGTACCCAGAAGAAACAACCTTATCCCAGAGGTTTGAAAGGCCTCGGATGAGCTAAGGAGAAAGCATTGGGGCTCTTCTAAGTGAGGCACCATTTTGCTACCCTGCAGGCTCCGTCTACCATCCTAAACATGACAGCTGCCCAGATGGGGTGTTACTCCCCAGGTGGCAGGAGAACTTGGTATAAATGTAATCTTTCTTTAACTGATGAAGCTGATCTATTTATACTTGCCCTTATGACAGCCAGACAACACTAAAACTGTGAGTTTAAGTACGGTAGGTTCTAATCAATGTCACATTTACCCACAACTTTAATAGTTTTATCCAATCTGTTTTGCTGACGATGTAAACAGCTGTGAAGACATGGGAAGCCTGAGTCACAGTCTAATGATTCTTGTAGATGGCGAGGCAGAAGATGCAGTTATTCTGTCATACAGAAAAAGTGTCTTGCATATGCTCAGAGCCGCTCAAAATATTTGACTAAGGATTTTGCACTCTTGATTTACTCCCCGATTTCTGTAGCCACTTATTGGTGCATTTCAATATTTCCCTGGATTAGAGTCCTCTAAATAGAATAATCTTCATTAATCTTTTATTCTTTTTCAACCCAGACAAAGTGTCCACAGTGTTAGAAAGGAATGATACAAGTGTTGCTGAGAGGAGGGAAGCAAGATGCAGATCAGTGACAAAATTTAACTGAAAATGTATTCGTGAAGGCTTTCATGGCCGGGATCTAATGGTTGTTGTGGGTTTTTCGGGCTCTTTGGCCATGTTCTGAAGGTTGTTCTTCCTAAAACACACTGATCACCATAATCACCCATCTCCTGAAAAGGACAAAAGCTGATCTCACAGCCATAAATAACTCCCAAACAAACTGCACCAGAGCACAGAGTGCCACTCCTGTCCTCTGAAGATGCCGGCCACAGAGACTGGCAAAACGTTAGGAAGAACAACCTTCAGAACACGGCCAAAGAGCCCGAAAAACCCACAACAACCATTTAAATGAAAAGTTTAGAATAGAAAAATGTTTTAGGGCAGGATTTTCCAGCCTGGCACATTTCGATGTGTGTGCAGATCCTACCATCAAAGGACAGGAACTGAACTGTGGGATTTGTAAGCCAAGACACCTGCAGAGTGCCAGGTGGGGAAGCCAATGAAATGCCACCAGGAAGAACAGTGCCAAGCAGAACACTAGAGCCCATTTTATCCTGGGATCTCTTTTAAAACTAATTAACTTAGGCCAGGATCCTATGCCGTCAAATCACTCACGTATCAGACTACATAACGCCGGCAGTTTAGCTGTCACCGCATCTATGCAAGAAAGTTATTCTGCATCATCGTCTCCGAGCAGAACTGGGGCTTTCTCCAAAGAATGCAATACATGGTGCACGCTGCTGGTGAGGCCAAGATCACGGCTTCCTGCTGCGCTTACCTCATCTTTCAGCCACTCGTATTCTTTGATCTCTCGGCGGCTGATCTTGTCAATGTGCTTAACGGCATTCTGAGGAAATAAAATCAAATAAAGTCAAATTGCATTACAGTTCAAGTTGGAGCCAATGTGTTGGAGGAAGTGAGAGGCGGGAGTCTAGACAGGATACCCACAGGAGGACATCGGAAAATCTGAACAAAAACTCCCATTCTTCCCTTTTATTTATTTACTTACATTTTATGTCCACCAGCTTTCCAGGAGCTACCCAAAGCAGCTTAGAATGACATGCCGCATAAAAATACTTTTAAAAAAACAATGGAAGTACTAGACTAAAATGTGTCCCATTTGGCTTGTGTTGAATATCCGTCCGAAGACAACAATCCGCTGCTATCCAGGCCACCAGCCTGGAGAACCCTTTTCCATGCAGGGCCGAATTCGAATTTGGGAAGAGTCTCAGAGAACTTTCCAGCACTGGGCATAGCTAAGGGCAATGAGTGGGGGGGGGGAGTTACATGTTGTTGTTGTTGTTTAGTCGTTTAGTTGTGTCTGACTCTTCGGGACCCCATGGACCAGAGCATGCCGGGCCCTCCTGTCTTCCACTGCCTCACTTATTACTAATTTGCCTCAGTGAGACAATTTTCAACCACGGACACCAGAAATCTTGTTCTATGTAAAATCTACCAAGGATGCAAATTAAAACTCATTTAACGGGGTAAAAAACAAATTAAAAAATATCCAGTTAGCTTCCTGCCTTGGCTTGCCAACACAGGCTCAAGAGGAAAATTGCCAAAATCTGATATGTAAAATTTGTGGGGTAAAACTAACTGCTGAAATGCATATCTTACGAGGAAGTAATAATAGCATGTTTTACAAAAATTGGTACCCATGTCTAGACTTTGTCAACTCAAATGAAGAAGACACTTCTCCTACATTAGATACTGATTCATGGAAAGACTCAGGGCTTGTCTATACACCCATTTCGAGGGAGGCCAAAGTGGTGCAACCTCCACATTCAAATGCCATACAGAGTTCCAATGACCCTACGTATTTGGTCCCCACCAGCCCACTGTCAGAAGCAGGAAACGATAGGAGGGTGGAATAAGGTGGGTTTTTGTTTGCTTTTCTCTTAAAGAGCCAGTCAAGAAAAACAAAACAAAACCAATCCCTCTCCTTCTACGAAGCTGAGAAAGTATTCAATTTGCCTACATAGTACAGTATCATGACATGCTTCTTAAGCCGCTTCACAATACTGGCAAATTAAAAGAGGAAGGCATCCTTTGGTCTGTTCTCAGCAGTCATGCATGCTGGAGATGAACTAATGTAGAGCAATCCTACCCACACCAAAAAGTAGGTGCCCCTTGAAAATTGTGGGTAAGAATGTTCTGGTGGTGGGTTGGTTCGCTCCAGCAGAGACATCATCTGATCAATTTTAAGAGTCCACCAGCCCATCTCTGCAGTGGTCAAAACAGCTGGCTAAATGCCCATCTCATCACATTCTTATTCAGTAACAACTTTTATGCATGTTTTTCGCTAGTAATATTATATGATTTATTTTTTTGGGGGGGAGGGGGAGAAAAACACACACACTCAAGCTTGTTTCACCACAAAAATCTTCTTGCGTTCTAAAAATATTCGGTATCTCTGTGCCCTGAGTCAAGTGTACAAACTGGACATTCCCCTTCCTTGATCTATAAACTGGACTAACTCATATCTCACTTATGGATGGAATCTCTAGGTTTCAACCAGAGTGCAGGCTCCAGGGCACACAATCGCTTCTCATCAACTTGGCTTTGGGAAAGGTTAAAACAGATCTCAATTGTTGAGATATTTAATATGGTGAAGGCTACCGTATGCAAAATGCTATCCCCAGACCTACCTAAGCTCTCTTAAGTGGCCTATAGGCATCTCAGCTCTGGGCAAATACTAGGCTTTGCAATAAACTTTGTTTCTTACTAAACCCTTACATCCTCCCACTGGAATCAGGTGCAGAAGTGGCTCAAGGGGAGTTTATATTTCAGGAACAGAAGATCCTTGGCTCAGACCAAGAACTTGTTTTCAACATTGGTATCAGGTCTTTCCCAAAATGACAATGACAGTATTAATAGTATTAAAATAATGCTACCTGCTGTGTGTTACTAAGGCCAGTGCTTCATGTAGTAAGTTGCATTAGAGTAGCCCATTGAATTAATGGGGATTGCTGAGTCAACTCTTCCACAAGTTCTATGGATTCAAATGGGCCTACTCTAGTTGCAATTTATTTTAGGGCAGTAAGTCACAACTAGAGAAGATCCTCTTGAATCAAGTGAACTTACAGAGGCATTGGCTCACCAAATCCCCATTGATTCAGTGGGATGACTTTTGTGCAACTTGTTACACTGAGTAACAGGATTTCAGCCACTGGATTGGAATCCACGAAAGCTCACACTGAAATAAATCTGTTAGTCTTCAAGGCGCCACCAATCTTTTCTGCTTATTTTTCTTACATATCCCAGAAAAGACTAACAAGGCTACCTCTTTCAAAATGGCTACCTTTGGCCTATCTCTGTTCTAAGGGGCAGGCAGAGTTCTCTGAGGAGAACATGAAGATCATTTCTAAGAATCAGGAAGCAGATTAAAACATTTATTTTTGGAAGCAGCTAGATTTTTAGAGTACTGTATATTGCTGAGCAACTTCCTCTCTCTCCCATGATGCCTTTATTGATTAACTCTGTTGTTCATACAACTACATTTGCATTATTCGTTCTTAATTTGCTACATTTATATACTGTATTTCCACCAATGAGTAAATGGCTTTCCTGTTTCAGTTTCTATCAACAAGCCTGTGAAGCACTTCAGGCTGAAATAAAGGGACTGACCCAACAGGAACCAATGAGTTACACAATCAAGTACCGTACACACAAATCTTGATCTCTCCAATTTCAATCTAACTCTCTAATCACTATACAACAGTTTATTGGTTTTTTAAAAGCCCATGTCAAAATAAAAAGGCAGTGCAGTAAATGGGAAAATACATCAGAAAACAAATGAAGTCATTTCTATACATTTCTGGGAGAATATCATAAATACACTTATGTATAAGTATATGGGAATGATTTAGCCAAGGCTTTTAAACTCACTTGTTCCATCTGAAGAATTAAGTACATGATTGGGGATACAATCCTGTCCACACTTGCGTGCCAGGCCCATTGGTTGTCTTCACCCAGAAATTCCCCTTCCCCAAGAATTAAGGGAGACTTGTCTACATGGCTCAACTGAAGCAAGCTGGACTGGGCTAAAAAGCGTTGTTTAAGGTTGAGTAGAGGTCCAGTATGTCATTTGATACAATCCTTACATCTAAATGGCACACATACTTCAAGCAACCCTATTTGGCCCACCTCCCTTAAGACAACAACAAAAAAACCCTTCTTGCCCCCTTCTCTCTCCTCCTCCTTCCACGAGGAAGTTTTCAATTAAAAAAAGATTTTGCGTGATATAGTGCATCAGCACTATCCTGTGTTGTAGGCATCCTTCAGTCTCAAGAGACTATGGTATCGTGCTCTGTATGGAGGTCTTGGAACAGTGTCTTGTGTGGCTGAGAAGGCCAATTCGAGAGTGACCGTCCTTTCCACACTGAAGACAGATACAATCTGTCCCCTGCCCAATTCCTTGATTTTGCTGATTTTGGGACTGCCTCTTGGCCTCAGCCTGCTGGACAAGGGTCTCTTCAAATTGGGAGAGGCCGAGATGCAACACCTGCCTCCAGGCTGAATGTTCAGATGTTAGAGTTTCCCATCTGTTGAGGTCCATTCCTAAGGCCTTCAGATCCGGCTTGCAGATGTCCTTGTAACGCAGCTGTGGTCTCCCTCGGGGGCGGCTTCCCTGCACTAATTCTCCATACAGGAGATCTTTTGGAATCCGACCATCAGCCATTCTCACGACGTGCCCAAGCCAACGTAGACGGCGCTGTTTCAATATTGTATACATGCTGAAAATTCTAGCTACTCTATTTGGAACTTTGTCCTGCCAGGTGATACCAAAAATGCGTCAGAGACAACGCATGTGGAAGGTGTTCAGCTTCCTCTCCTGCCGTGCACAAAGGGTCCAAGACTCGCTGCAGTATAGGAGTGTGCTCAGGACACAGGCTCTATAGACCTGGATTTTGGTGTATGCCGTCAACTTCTTATTAAGCCATACTCTCTTTGTGAGTCTAGAGAACATGGTAGCTGCTTTCCCAATGCGTTTATCCAGCTCGACATCTAGGGAGAGAGTGTCAGAGATTGTTGAGCCAAGGTACACAAATTCATGAACAACCTCCAGTTCTTGCATGGAGATAGTAATAGAGGGAGGTGAGTCCACGCCCTGGCACATGACTTGTGTTTTCTTCAGGCTGATAGTTAGTCCAAAGTCTTGGCAGGCCTTGCTAAAATGATTTATGAGTTGTTGGAGGTCTTCAGCAGAGTGGGCAACAATGGCTGCATCAGGAAGTCCCGCATGCATTTCAGTTGGACTTTGGTCTTCGCTCTCAATCTAGTGAGATTAAAAAGCTTTCCATCTGATCTAGTCCGGAGATAGACACCTTCTGTTGCAGTTCCAAAGGCCTGCTTCAGCATGACAGCAAAGAAGATCCCAAACAGGGTTGGCGCAAGGACACAGCCTTGTTTTACTCCGCTTCGGATGTCAAAGGGATCTGATGTTGAGCCATCAAAAACTACAGTGCCCTTCATTTCCTCATGAAAGGACCTGATGATATTAAGGAGTTGAGGTGGACATCCAATCTTGGGAAGTATTTTAAAAAGTCCATCCCTGCTAACCAAGTCAAAGGCCTTTGTGAGATCTATGAAGGCCACAAAGAGTGGCTGTTGTTGTTCCCTGCATTTCTCCTGCAGCTGTCGGAGGGAGAATACCATGTCAGTGGTGGATCTGTTAGCTCGAAAACCACACTGTGATTCTGGATACACTCTGTCTGCAAGCACCTGAAGTCTCTTCAGCACAACACGGGCCAGCAGCTTCCCTACAACGCTGAGAAGAGAGATACCACGGTAGTTATTGCAGTCGCCCCTGTCGCCTTTGTTCTTATACAATGTGACGATGTTTGCGTCCTACATGTCCTGTGGTACTCCACCTTCTCTCCAGCAAAGACAAAAGAGTTCATACAGCTCAGTGGTGATGATCTCTTTACAACACTTCAAAACTTCAACGGGGATGTTGTCCTTTCCAGGTGCCTTGCCAGAGGCAAGGGAATCCAAGGCTGCTTTTATTTCTGCTAAAGTTGGTTCACTGTCCAGCTCTTCCAAGAGAGGCAGGCACTCAATGTTATTTAGTGCATCTTCCGTTACTACATTCTCTTTAGAATATAGCTCAGAGTAGTGCTGTACCCAGCGTTCCATCTGCTGTGCTCGATCCTGGATGATCACGCCTGTAGTAGACTTCAAGGGAGCAGATCTCTTCTGTATTGGACCTAAAGCCTGCTTGATACCATCATACATTCCCTTGATGTTACCTGTGTCCGCTGCTATCTGTATCTGAGAGCAGAGCTGAAGCCAATAATCATTGGAACATCTCCTGGCAGTCTGTTGGACTTGGCTACGAGCAGCTCGAAGAGCCTGCAAGTTGTACTCACTAGGACAGGCTTTGTATGCTGCTAGAGCTCTCCTCTTATCCTCGATGGCTGGAATCAGCTCCTCTGAATGGGCTTCGAACCAGTCAGCCGTCTTTTTGGTCTTCTTGCCAAATGTGGACAAGGCAGTGTTATAAACAGCGTTCTTGAAGCGTTCCCATCGTTCAGGTGCATTCGCATCAGCCGGGCCTGGAAGGGTTTCCTGAAGCGCTTGGGCAAATTCCTCCACTTTTCTTTGATTGCGAATCTTGTTGATATCTATACGTGGTTTTCCTTCCTTTTTAGTATGATACAATCTCTTTGTTTGCAGTTTTATTCTGCTACACACCAGGGAATGATCAGTGTCACAATCAGCACTCTGGTAACTGCGTGTGATCGTAATACTAGATAAGCTAGAACGTCTAGTGAGGATCAAATCAAGCTGATGCCAATGCTTCGATCTTGGATGTCTCCAGGAAACTTTGTGTTGAGGCTTTGTATTAAAGAATGTGTTGGTGACACAAAGACCATAATAACAGCAAAACTCCAGCAAACGTTGGCCATTTTCATTCATCTTCCCAATGCCAAAACGGCCTAGACAGGTGGGCCAAGAGTTGTGATCAGCACCAACTCTAGCATTAAAGTCTCCGAGAATGAACAGCGGCTCTCTCTCAGGGACGTTTTTGATAGTAGCTGCCAAATCGTCATAGAATTTGTCTTTGACTTCTGTTGTGGATGACAGTGTTGGTGCATATGCACTGATGAGGGTGACCAGTCCCGCTGATGAGTGGAGCTGCAGAGACAGGATTCTTTCACTCCCCACAGTAGGTGGAACAATGGATCTCAGCAGAGTATTTCTGACAGCAAAGCCAACACCATATTCCCTGGTCTCGTTCAATGGTTTTCCCTGCCAGAAGAATGAGAAGTTTTTTTCTTTGACAGATCCCATGTCTGGCAATCTCGTCTCTTGCAGGGCAACAATGTCCATCCGCAGTCTACTCAGTTCAATGTCGATAACAGCTGTCTTGCTTTCTTCTGATTGTTGCATGGTGCATGGTTATTGATCTGTTTTTCGGCTCTCCGACCATCAGAAGTAGCCCCTGGCATCATGCTCTATGCCAGTCGAGCAAAACGTATAACCAGTAACTGCTAGTTCCTGTGTTATTTCAACACTGTATGCAAAGCTGGAGTGTCCTCTCCAGAGCACGAAGCCTGGGTAGAATAATATGGAGGATAGGCTGTTACCCAAGCAGCAAATCCCCCCTCTCCACGTCACTGAAATAGTCCAATGGAGAGGCAAGAGCCAATACAACTGGTTCCAGCGACGTCGCAGGAGTTGGCAGAACGACACAAACTGTCTACGGGACTCCGGCTCCGGATTTTGCCTCGAGGTTATCTCCTGAAGCCTTTTCCATCAGTGGATATAGCCACAAGGCAGTGGAGGTTTGAAATCAGAGTTTTCCTTCTCCTAGATGGGCTGCCTTACATGGCTGACGAGTTCCACCTACCCGGCCTGCTCCCTAATAGTGCGGAAGTATGATCCTACTCCTGAAACATTCCTGCCCCCAGGAATACTATTTGGCTATCCAATTAAAATGTCCCCCAAACACAGCTCCCTCCTGCCTCTACTTCCTCTTCAGCACTATCCTAACACTTAAAAAAAAAACTTTTGCTTCCTTCCTCTGCCACCCCTTTCCATGGAGGAGCAGAGAACATATTTAATTTCCCAATATCATGAAGAGGCTCAGTGGTTTTTGTAAGCCGCTTAATGATACTGGGAAATGTAAAGTGGAAGGGAAATTTAAAGCTACAAGCTCTACTTTGGCTGGATCGTGCCTAGGAGGAGAATAAAACAAAAAACAGAAAAGAGAAGAAACAATACCTCAGTGGCCCACTCCTTCTTTTGTTCCATTTGTTTCAGAGTGTATTTGTCTATTTTTTCCTTTGTTTCTTCAAGAGCAACTCTAAAATATTCTTCAGTGGGGGGAGAAATGGAGGGAATAAAACAGAACATGTTGAAGCATTTCATAAGTGCAGATGCATCTAAATACAGATTCTTTATATAGGCATGGTGAATATTCGTGATTTTAAAGTTCTTAACAGTAACACTGTTTTTTTTCCCTGAAGTTTTTGTACCATGTACAGTAACACCAATTATAAAAGTCACACAATAATGGAATTCATGCTTGTATTCTCTTTCTTTGAATTCTGTACAGTTTCTATTTTGCATTCTTATCCATCCTGCCTAGAGGGAATTCAGAACAAATTAAATATTATTGAATACATCTTGTAGTGAAGCATTTAGCTAGTGAGACAGAGATGTTGATCAAGGCCAGTCAAGGCTCAGAAGAAAAAATGAATAGAACACCAGAATGGCTCTTATCTGAAGCCTCAAGACAATAGTTGGCATTGACTCCACGGGGCGTTGACAACCACAGTGTCTCTTGGTACTGCCAGCTACTATTTGCTAAGGTTTGTAAGAGAGAAGTAAAAATATGGTAAGATGGTCACCTACATGCATTTGATAATAAACCAGACTGGCAGGGGTAGCAACCCAAGTCAGTCACTCCTTCTTATTTGCAGTTTAGGATGTAACTACTGAGTAGGTGGGACATGTTGGAGCTGCAGGTTAAACCACAGAAGCCTCTGAGCTGCAAGGTTGGAAGAACAACTGTCGTAAGATCTATTCCACGTGACGGAGTGAGCTCCCGTGGTTTGTCCCAGCTCCTGCCAACCTAGCAGTTTGAAAGCATATAAATGAGAGTAGATAAATAGGTACCACCTCGGTGGGAAGGGCACAGCGTTCCTTGTCTAGTCGCGCTGGCCACGTGACCACGGAAACTGTCTTTGGACAAATGCCGGCTCTATGGCTTGGAAACGGGGATGAGCACCGCCCCTTAGAATCGGACACGACTGGACAAATTGTCAAGGGGAATGGCTGTTGTGGGTTTTTCGGGCTCTTTGGCCATGTTCCGAAGGTTGTTCTTCCTAATGTTTCGCCCCTCTCTGTGGCTGGCATCTTTAGAGGACAGGAGTAGCCTATCAAGGGGAACCTTTACCTTTACCTTACTGAGTAGGCCCCTAGTTTAAGCGGCAGTAAGAATAACAGCTCACCTGTCATCTCCTCCAGATCCTCTTTCAGCTTCTTGATGTCTTGTTCCAGGGACTCAATCTGTTTTGCATGCTCAGAACTCCCTACATTCTTGTATGCCAGCCAATAATCCACCTCGGCCTGCTTCAGTAGAAGTTTCTGCTCAATATAATGTATCTGGGAGCGCATGTCTTGTGGGGGGGGGGGAGCCAGGGTGGGAGTGGTAAAATCATATTATTAGTAATACCCTTTGCTTTAAAACAGTTACTACTGAATAAAGTTTCTTCTGAAAAAGAAAAAAAATATCCTTTAGTGTGATAATTTCAGGTCAAGGAAAAAGGTGACTAAAATGCCCATAAGAATTTTTGTTTTAATGACACACTAAAGGGAGCGATCTTGAATATTAAGTTCTATATAAATCCAGGTTCTGATTAGCACTGCTTCCCACACACAGCAATTAAAACGAGGCAAGTTATCAACTGCCTAAAGAATTGCTGTTATTTTTAAATATCGTATTTTAATAAAACCCTCTGCCTTTTCAAACAGAGGAGAGATATACTGTGGAAACGAGCCCTTAAAAGCATTTTAAAACCACCCACATTTTATGCGAAAATTCCACATCCAGTAAAAGCAGCCAACCATAATTAGTCTGGGTTTTACAACTCACCTTTAATAAGCTTCTCTTGGTCTTTAACATATTGCCATTTGTCCTTCATTGCTTTCTCTACATCGTCCCGAGTAACGATTTCAATTTTTTCCAGTTCCTTCTCCTGTTCTTTCAGGCTGGTGAAGAGTGCCCGGATATGCCCAATCTGTTCTTCCTTCAGGTGCTGATTCTGAAAGAGGAAATCCATTTAGAAAAGATGATGGGAATCCTAGCTCACTAAAGTGGAGTTGCAGGACACCATGGCTAACCCCCCCCCCCGGTCTCTTGGGAACAAAGACAAAATGCCTCCTCTTTGAGAGATGCTCAAGACAGAAAACGTGAGAATCCTAAAAGAAATGGTTTAAGTCAAAGGAAGGTCAGCCTGGGTCCAAACAGGTAAAGAAGAGTCTAGGAAAGCTGAGGAGGTCTCTCTCCAACCTCCTCATGCAAAGACACCCATCCTTGGCACAAACTGATTGGGATTCAAAGGTGGCCTCTAGCTAGGATGGATGGTGCCCTCATCCCATTTCATCAGCCGTGGCTGGTGGCACCTGGTCACCCCCAATAGTCTTCCCTTCTCCTCTCTCCTGTGGAGAGCTGTATGGAGAAATGAAGAGACAGCGCTGAAGGCCAGTGAGGAGGGTGAGGGCCCACAAAACAAGACCTAACATCACCTACCATGCAATATTTTTAAGCAGGGCCCCTGTTTCTACATGTGTTGGAGGGGAGCCAACTTTGGTTCAATCCCAGCTATCACACATACTGAAATTGAACCAAAACAGAGCGATCTTAACTGCACCAAAAAATAACACTCAAAAACTAGTAGCCCCTGAAATAGAGTAAGAAAGGTGCTGACAGGAGTGCTCTGGGGACTGGATGGTTCACGGCAGCACTTATATCATCCGGTTGTCAGCCAAAGGACTGAACCAGCCCATCTTGCACAGACCAAGCGAGACAATGGTAACGTGCTCTGCATGGAGGACTTGGAACAGCATCTAGTGTGGTTGAGAAGGCCAATTCGAGAGTGACCATCCCTTCCACACTGAAGACAAATACAATCTGTCCCCTGTCCAGCTCCCTAGTTTTGCTGGTTTCAGGACTGCCTCTTTGCCTCAGCCTGCTGGACAAGGGTCCCTTCAAATTGGGAGAGGCCATGATGGACTGCCTGCTTCCAGCCTGAACACTCGGCCTGTGCTCCAGGCATATGCTCTTAGCACTTTAGGAATTCCCTCTTATAATTATAAACTAACTGTAGCATCCATTAGTCCTTAGCTCTGGACCTTCCCTAAACCAAAGAGAAGTAAAAAAAAATTTCTGCTTACTCTTTCTTTGTTTCTGTCATTTTTCACTTCCAGTTGCTTTATCTCACGCAGAAGCTCATCAATTACTTCTTCTTTTATCTGAATTCTGAAGACCATTTAAAGACAGAGAATAGTTTGCCATGCTATCAACAGAAACTACACTCAGTCCTTCAAAGGAACAGCAGATTTGAAAATATGATTCTGTTTACTTGTTTATTTATTTTTTTATCCTACTCTCCAGATAATAATTACTCTCAATTAGCACATCAATAGATAAAGGAACACAAGTCATTCCATCAGGGAGGCTTTACGAAACTGACAAATGGACGTGAGGAGGAGGATATTTCAAGGGCTATTTAATACGCTGCCGGTAAATTCATTATCTAAGTGTAGACCTTTATGCAGAACTGTCTTCATATAAAAGGGGCATATCCACAGAACAAGAGAACCTTACATACGTAGAAGCACAAAAACACCTTTTTAAAAAATCAAGAAGAGAAACGATCCCCACATTGCCGCATGTCATAACGAACAGTTCAGTGAGGATTAAGCATAGTGCCTTGGCATGGAATTATGACTGTGGAGAGTAGGGCAAACGGAAAATGGATGGGAGTGGAATATCGCAGAGAAGGGCATAGTTGGTCATCTAGAACCTGGAAAAAGATCACATCAAAGGACAGGTCCCGCTTCAGGAACAGAAGGCTAAAAAAGCCATTAGACCTAACACAGTTCTGCGTCCATCTGTATCTAATCCGGTTTATTAATTTATGCCCAGAATCCTATTACTGCATGCATAAGGTTTGTGTTACTTGTCATGGCTAATTGCAACTAACTGATGAGGTACTAGCACACATTTCAACTGCCTGCCAGTCACATGCCTGATTGCACAGCCTAGATATTATCCAGCACCTCATTGATTAGCCACACAATTAGCTGTGACAAATTACACCAATGTTGTGAACACCAATAGGATCCTAGCCGGTTTGTCACTATATTGAGTGACATGAATAAATCTCTAGTCGGTTTTCATTAACAATGGGATAGAGGAGAAGTGTTGTGGGCAAAAAAATGATCATAGGACAGAAGAGCCCGCAGACTGCCAGAGAGTCCTACAACGAGATTCTGAATTTACTTTATGTCATACATACTGATAAGCTAATAGAGCTTCTGGAAAATAAGTGCGAGGGTCCTTAGACTGCGAGGATCCCTTCTTCTTCTTCTTCTCCTTCTTATCTTTCTTCTTCTTTTCTTTTGCCATGGTTTATATTTTTGTCGAGTGAAAGACCTAGAAGCAAACACAGAGATCACTCATCTTCTACTGAATGATCCATTTAAAATATTTCTGTCCTGCCTTTCTAAGACACACCAGGGCAGTACACAAAAACATCAGAAATTAACAACAACCACGTAAAAATATAATGAAACGATAAAAGAATAGTGCAAACAATTTAATGTAAAACAGTCTACATATGGAATGGTAATACCAAGAGATTTATTTTCCCAAACCAATATGTGCAACTACAATTGTTCAGGCTTTAGTATTTTTTAAATAGATATAATGAATCTTAATCTGTGGGACTGAGAATTAAACTCACTGTCATTTATTTTTATGCTCCTTTGCTCTGTTATGAGGGACATGGTGGCGCTGCGGGCTAAACCGCAGAAGCCTGTGCTGCAGGGTCAGAAGACCAGCAGTCGTAAGAGCGAATCCACGCGACGGAGCGAGTGCCCGTCGCTTGTCCCAGCTCCCGCCAACCTAGCGGTTTGAAAGCATGCAAATGCAAGTAGATCAATAGGAACCACCTCGGTGGGAAGGTAACAGCATTCCGTGTCTAAGTCGCACTAGCCATGTGACCACGGAAGATTGTCTTCGGACAAAACGCTGGTTCTATGGCTTGGCAACGGGGATGAGCACCGCCCCCTAGAGGCTAACACGACTGGACAAAAATTGTCAAGGGGGACCTTTACCTTTACCTTGCTCTGTTATCCAATTATTAAAGACATTTTGAAAAAAAAATACTATTAAAGATAGCTTTTCCTGAAATATCTCTTTTCTGTTTATTAAATTGCCAAAATACCTTACACTTTTTCTAAAAGAGAAATAGCCACATCCATTTCCCCTGTTTTTCTTATACAAATGCCTCCTAGTGGCCAAAATATTTTAATAAATTAAAATATCTTTTGGATGTGTGGGTGCCAAGAGCCCTCAAAACTTGGCAAAACTACCTCTCGTCTTCTCAGTAACACAAATGGGGTTGAGAAAAAAACAAAACAAAACAAAATAAAACAGGAGTATCAGAGTGCCATTATGTGAGATAGCACCTACTCAGTGGACGCATTTTGATCAGCCGTTGGGACAAAGAACACAGAACATTAGAGGTGAGGCACAGAGTACAGTATCTTAAAAGGAATGGCCATGAACGCATAACACTGTCAATTTTGTTGTGACCATTTGGACAAGTGGTTTGAAATGGCAGCCAAAAAATCAACTGATTCAAATACAGAATTAGTTGACAAGACAGGAATAAAATTCAGCATCTGGCCCATCTAAAAACTGGCACAGTCATAAAACAATACTCCTTATTGTTTAATGTCCCTGTGTGAACAAAAATAGTTAAAGCCAGTACTTAACCCTTCCAAAACAAAAAACAAAAACAGAAATACCAAAAAAATCAAGCTCTAAGTTCTTCATAGCCAAGAAATCAACCCTGTAGGTACGGGTTTTGCTTACTTACAGCTTCCACAGTGTGGGAAGCACTGCCAAAATTGTGTTACTTTTTATGCATGGAAATCTAACAGATTTTAATGATGGATGCTTAAGAAGAGCTGGAATTTACTTATGTAAGGTAAAATTAAAGTTTATTATAGTCACTGGCCATTAAAACCATGAACATATATATAAGCTCTATATCTATACCATATCTCTAGTATTTCCTCTTCTATCCTTATTATTTAGCCAGTTATCCCTTAGTTTTATTTCAGGTGGTAAACAAAATGAGTCTTATTCTACTTATGTTAGTAACCTGTTTCAAGAAACCTTGATAAACTTTCTGGCACTTAGCGTAGTTGACACAAAATCAGTTATGTTTTCCAGCCTTCTAATTCTGAAATCCCTTTTTTAAAAAAGTAGAGTCCGCTTCTGACCAAGTGGACAGAATTTCGGTAGACAAAATACATATTTAAACGATCTGAGTTTGTTATCTGAGGTGAGAAAAGCCAGATCAGAGGAAAACCAAAGTCCTTCTCCATTTTTACAGGGTCCATAAAAGTCTAAGAACTCTGCCTGCCAACTTCAAGGTATCATTTCCCTTCGAAATTTAATTATATGGATTTATTTGGTCTTTTGGGACCCAAATCTGGGCAGTGTTTTGTCTTCAATTATTTTAGAGGCAAACAACGTAGATTTGTTGGTTTGTGTTTTTTTGTTTTTGCAAAAATTCCAACCTTTTAATTAATCCAACCTTTAGTTCTCCCGGTTTCAAAAAATGTCCTTTTCCACCAATATGGTCCCAATCTTAATATCATCCCTACTTCTCCCTTCCTGGGGACCCCATTGGGGGATAATAGCATCTTACCAACGCCTTGTCCTGTTTTGGATATGGGGATGAAAACCAAGTACCAGTTGCTACCTTCTGGTCAGTTCCAGCTGCACATTCTCCCAGTTACTATGGTAACAACACCAAGATGGCCGACCATAAACAAACTGCCCATTTCCCTGAACAGTTGATCCTTCCTATTTTCCTTACCTCTATGAATAAAAAAAATGTTGCACTAAACAAGCTTTCGTGAGAGATGATCTCCCTCTTGTGTCTCAGTTTGGGAACTACTGCAACTTCACGAACAAAATAAAAGGCAAATCTTTGTGCATCGCAGAAGCACTTAGGGAGAAAAGCTCTTAAAACCACTGTTAGGATGAAATATAAATATATACCTATATTTCATAGAGTTGTTTACTAACAAGTAAAAAAGGTTTTTGTTTATATATGTATATAATCTGATTTTTTATTTATTTTAGTTGGGAAATGCATTTAAAGCAGCAAAAGTCTTACAACAATCAGTTGATCAAATGTAAACATACAGTAAAAGCTAGAACAAAGGATGATCAGAGCACTTTCTTACCGGCTGTAGTCTTGCCAATAATGCAGACAAAGATTTTATTTGGTTGGAGAGAAGGAAGAGGTTGAAATTCCGTTGGTACATGTCAAGCCCTGATGGAAGATAGGAGCAAGAACGGGTTGTTACTGTTTTAAGTGGCAGGCTAATCAATTTCCTTTTGAGATGTTGAAGGAAGTATTAAATAAAATGTAACATACAAGTTTTAACATTTATAATAGCTCTTGATTGTCAGATATTAATTTATTTTATTCCCCTGGTTAGACTATCACAAAAACAGCTTCCTAAAAAGTCAATCTCCAAAACCAATTTTTCTGCATAAACAGAAACTGATCCTCACTGTTAATCAGCTAATTAAACCAAATAAAGTGTACATGCTAAGCGTGTGATTAGTGAGAATATAATTCCTGCATTTTCAGTGCACATAAGAAGAGGACTGACATCCAGGCTGGTGATCTTACTCTGTCATAGCACAGGAGAAACCAGAAGGCTTGTAGCACTTGTAAGACTAATTCGTTTTTATTTTTCATAAGTTTTTGTGTCTCCAAGCATGGAACACATAAAATATATGAAAAATAAAAAGTGTTTAGTCTTAGAGATGCTCCAAGACTGTTTGTTTCTCTTGTGCTTATCAAGGCTTTGGGCTATATTCTTCCCTCTAAGTATGCCTATTTATTTTTCAAGACAGTTGGGAAAGGGGAATTGGGAGGAAAGCCAGCAGAATCTTTCCTTCCAAGCAACTGGACTTCTTTCTTATTAGGTTGAAACGTTTCACTACTCATCCTAGTAGCTTCTTCGGTCTGAGGGGAGTCGGCAGGAGACCCCTCAGACTGAATAAGCTACTTGGATGAGTAGCGAAACGTTCCAACCTAATAAGAAAGAAGTCCAGTTGACAACTGGACTTCCGTTTGGCAACTGGCTCAACTTCCAGGTAGCCTCACTTGGATGACAGAGAATCTTCACAGATACTTTCTTTCCAAGGGCAAGAAAGCCAACCGAGCGACCACGGAACAAACATGGCAGCTGTGAGACCAAGGTCCAAAGCTGCATATTACAATAAAACACTTTTTAAGCGCACATTTTTATCATAGAATTACAGTACAGTATAATGAAGTTGGAATGGGGCATATAAGGCCATTGAGTCCTGCATAATGCAGGAATTCAAAATCAAAGTATATGTGACAGATGGTTGACTAATTTTCCCATGAATGCTTCTAGCACTGGAGTACTAACTACCTCTTGAGGTAACTGGGTTCGTTGTTGCACTGATCACACACTTAGAAATTTTTTCCTGACATTTGACCGAAATCTACAGTAACTTCCTCTGCTATGTGTCTTGCACTCTGGGATGATCGAGAACACATCCTGCCCCTCCTATGTTTGACCATCTTTCAAGTCTTTGAGGAGTGCTACCCTGTTTCCCTGAAAATAAGACCTAACCTGAAAATAAACCCTAGTATGATATTTCAGGATGCTCATAACATAAGCCCTACCCCCAAAATAAGCCCTAGTTAAGCAAAACCCCGCCCTCCACCATTGGGCAGCAACCAGAAGATGACATGACAATAAAACAAGTCCCTTAAAAAAGCCCTAATGCATTTTTGGAGCAAAAATTAATATAAGAACCTGTCTTAATTTCGGGGAAACGTGGCACAGTATTAAAGCTTCCCTGCAGTCTTCTTTTCTCATGGTTAACCTGCCAAGCTCTCTCAGTCTTTCCTCATAGGGCTTAGTTTCCAGTCCCCTGATCATCCTTGGTGTTCTCCTCTGAACGCCTTTCAGCTTATCTGCAGGCTTCTTAAAGTGTGATATCCATAATGAGGTGTTGAATAGACCAGTGAATAGACCAGTGCTGAATCCTTCTCACATGTAGTATTACTGAGCCACGGATTCTCTCTCCTGTCGTATAACTGTGCCTTTGGTTTTTGCCCCCCTAGGTTTAGAATTTTGCATTGATGCCTGTTAAATGTCATTCTGTGGTTTTCAGCCCAGTGCTTGAGTCTATCAAGATCTTTCTGAATTTTGTTTCTGTTTTCCAGGGTACTAGCTATTCCAACCAATTTTGTGTCATCTGCCAACTTGGGAAGTATTCCCTGCAACTCCCCATCCAAATCATGAATAAAAATGTCGAAGAGCACCGAACCCAATTATCAATTGATAATTACTGAAATTTCATCACATGGGGTGTCTGAGGGAATTGCCACATGAGGCAAAATAACTTGGTAGGCTATGGGTACTATGCCCCTTGATTTTGGTGAGAGGGAGACTGCTTTGCCTCAGACAGCAACATTCTTTGATTTGGCCCTGTTTAGCCCTCTCCTCCCCTACCCTGCTGTTATAGACGTTGCCATGTGAAGCAGCCTCAAGGTGTTCTTCTGCATCAAGGTGATTCAGAACAACACTTTATAGATCGATATCCCTTCTATAACCCAAAACATGGTCCCCCCATAACCTCCACATAGACCTCAATAATTGTTAAGACACACTTCAATGCATAGAAACTAAAACACAGACAACAATAGATCAATAAAACTAGGTTTCAGTAGTTTGTGAAAAGGAATCTAGATGGAATAGAGTGCATATTTGTGTGCCCCAAAGCAGTCTCAAGCAATTTTTTAAATGCTTTATTATCATTCTCCTTGGTTCAGCAAAAAATAGCAGAGATTCTAGGTGACACAATCTGAGTCATTCATTAAACTGTCTGTTACTTTTTTTTCATCATGCTTTGCAGGTTGACCGGTGCTACCACATTCTCTACAAGGATCCCCTCCTACAACATCAATATTTGCCAAAGGTGAATAGCACTTTGCTAAAGAAGGAGTACTCTTGTTGACACTGCTCACTTTCTAATAGCTGTGGGATCTTGTGGAAAAGGCAAGCGAGCGCTTTTATGCTGGATCTCATTGTCACTTACTTGACGTATGCTGCAGTTGAGATAGGTAGGCAGGCAGCTGAGTGATTTGGGACTCACTCCAGCTAACCTGAAGCTTTTATTTGGTCCCTAATCCCATGAAAAACAATCATCCTAATCCACTTGTATATGATTATTGAGCTAGATCAATGATTCCCATCCTTGGCTCCCCCAGATGTTCTTGGGACTAAAACTCCCAGAAGCCTTCACCACTAGGTGTTCTGGCCAGAATTTCTGGGAGCTGTAGTGGAAGACTGGAGGCCCTGGCCTGCTCTGGTCCATGGGGTCATGAAGAGTTGGACATGACTTAACGACTAAACAACAACATCCCCACCATAGAACCTCTGAATATAAGCTGGGATGTGACTATTCAATATTAACAGCAGAGCAACCCCTTTCCTTTCTATTTCACATACACAATCCAGCAGTACTGGCAATGGGGCTGAATCCTCCCACATGCCGGAGGGGAAGGCACTAGTTAAGGAAGTACAGGACAGGCTGCGTGGGACACTCTGCTCTTTCTTCCATGTGAGGGGAATAGCAGAGGGGCTCAACAGCAATGGCTAAGAGACCACTGCTGTTGCCTCTCAGCATCTGCCACCAGAGGCTGTTGTCTCACTGTGCCTAATGGTAGGGCCGGTCCTGACCCATGCACATCGACACCCAGTTTGTGTGGAACAACAGTGAAGCTTTACAAGATGGGCTCCGCCTGAAACGAATGGGTGGGTTAGAGTTGTTTACATCATTATCTGCAATGCACAGAGCCCCCCAACAGACAAAACATGAGAAAAAGTTTCTTATCACATCACAAATGAGAGAACCACAACGCCATGGCTGGGTTTGTCACCTCTTAACCAGGTGAAAGATGGATTGGATTTAGCTTGGCAAACAGATGACTCAGAACAAATTGGTTCAAGACACCTGGTTACAACATTTATTGACCAAAGCATGAGGCCCCATATATAACATACAACTCATGAAGGAGGAAGAGAACTGGAAAATGGACAGATTTTGGGGCTTAAAATAACCACTTCAATTTTTAAGCTGATTACAGACCCCAATGCTTGGCCTCTCAGCTTTCCATATTAGAAGAAGTAGAAAAACCCCTGGTCCCAAGTCTGATTTATTTCTCCTACTGTGAAAGCTAACGTACAGTATTTACTTTTGTTTTGGTCCATTTAACTTTAATTGCATATGATCAGTATTATTATTGAGGTAATCTGCTTAACTTCACTGTATGAAAGTAAACAGTTTTATAAGGTACATCCGCCAAGCAATGGGAATGGCTAGACAGAATGAGAGTTCTATGCGAGCCCTCACATTTCTGGCAAGTTGGTTAGAATAAACTTCGCTGAATTTTAGCTTCCAGGAAGCTCCAATATTCCAATACATTTGCCATAAAAGAAATTTGTTTGTGCAGGACTGGCCAGCCCTAAGTTGTACCTCAAAGAAATAAAATATTGCAAGAATATTATATTTCTAAAGGTACTTTTATCAGGATCCATCCATTCCTCTACAATAGTCCCTATATTCATGGCCTCTCTCTCAGTCTCTGAATTTTGAACGGTAGGACGGAGATCTTCTGAAATTAAGGGACAATTAGAGACTGAATAGATAGCTCGGTAGTTTAGTTTTCTGGTTGTGGAGCCAGAGATTGAGCATTTGACTGACCTCTTGTGAGTAGAACCAGCCTGTGTGGCCTTGGGCAAGCTGCACAGTCCCAGGGCATCC